CAATTTTTTTGCAATGTTTTAAGGTATTAAAGAGTTGAAATTAATAATTGTTTTTAATTTAGTAGTAAAGTTATTAGTTCATACAAGCACCCAACCTTAGCCAATGTTCATTTATACTATTGCAAAAATGAATAACTGAGTGAAGTCAGTTGAATGTCTCATTATTTGGTCTTTATTCAATAACTACTCCTATACCTAAATGATTTTTATTTATAATGTTAATCACAAAGTTTCTGGTATCCTGATTCATGATTACTTTTATCATCACGTATCCGCTTAGCGCAATTGTAATCTTCGAAAAAGTTCTCTGAGTTTGGCACAGCAAAACCAACTGGCAATGGTTTCATATTAGTCGGTCCCCAGGTGGCAACACCAAGCAATTTGTTACTGGCAACATTGAACACAGCAGCGCCCTCCACACCGTGATAAGATGCGCAAGATTTCGCACCCATTTCATAATCTGGGACCGAACAGGAATGGTAGCATGGAGAGTAGAAACCAGATATAAGATTATTGAACGTCAATATTGATGGGCAGAGATTTATGTTGACCACAACTGGTAATTCTGTTAGATAAAATTGTTTGTCCGGTATTACAAGATGGTGTATAATCTGTTAAAAAAATTATCAATTATAATAATTATTCTTTCTTCTTTCCGTGTGCCTTCAGTCTTGAAGGTTGGCTGTTGGAATATTACCTCTTTATTGCATAATAAATGAATCAATATTGTTTATGCTCCTTAGCTAAATTAAGTTATATTCATGGATCCAATGGCTTCCCCTAAGGACTAGTATCATATAAATCTTAGTATTATTAAAGACATACCTTTGGTACTGTGTATCCCACAACTTTATGTTCAATTTCATCATTATTAAATATTTGTGCGAACCATTCAAAATTATCATCAGTTCGGTTAACTGTATCAAATAAACCTATCGTTCGCCATTTCATAGCATTATCTTTTACAACAATTATAAAACCAATATCGTCGAACGCTTGCTGCGAACCATTAGATGGTACAACAAAAGCTATTGCATGAAGGCGGCCATATTGATATATTATTGATGTTTGAACCACTTTTAATCTGGAATATTGTTTGTAAATTATTTTATTTACTACTTATTTATATCTTTACATCTACTACTTTACTCTATCTAGCTGTCGCCCGCGACTCTTAATTAATTTGATATCAATACTGTATCCTTTATATCATATATTTTTGTTGTTTATAAAACTAACCACTAGCCACAAGTGACATATGGATGAGAAAAGAAGTTAAGTACATAAGGGCTACAACTTTACAAAGGGCTACTCTACTTATAGTTAAATGTAACTTACGTGGATATACAAGCAGCGGCAGTTATAAATATCCGTGTATCTATACACACAGCAGTACACATGTGCGGGTAGTTGTAATTTCTAGAGTGTACCACCCTCGCTATCCATTTATATCTTTTTTCCGCAACCGGTGTTGAATCTATTTCATAATTACTCAATGCTGTGAATACTAAAATTATTTTATATTTTCACTAGCTGTCTCCCGCGACTCCATCCGCATGGAATTAAAAAAAAACTTAATAAGTATGTATTCTTCCAGACTATGTTCTACATGTGTGCTAAATTTTTTCAAAATCCCTTGAGCCGCTCCGGAGATACCTTCAAACATCCATCCATCCATCTTAACATTCACATTTATAATATAAGTAGTAGTAAGATGCCAGAATACGTAAAATTATTACTTGTTCTAAATTTGAATAAAGATTTATTTTTCATTCAAGCATTTAAATCATAAACTTACCAGTTTTACTTTTTCTATACAAATCATTTGATTTTCTCCGAGGCAGAGTAAACAAAACATTTCTTCTACATAAATAACATCTTATCAGTACAAGAAATAGTAGCAACAACATAAGCCATGGCTTTAACATCTTACAGTTTTATGTATGAAATAAAAACAAATTTTATTGGCAAAATTATATATTTCATAAATCAAGAATACAATATTGCAATACGCAAGAGAAACGTTCACATTTCACATTGCATGAAAGAAATCAAACGGATGAAAACATTTTACGACTATTTTTATCCTATACATTATATTATTATATTATTTTTATATATGCTGCAAATGAAAAATTATCATTTTTAGTAGACATATTTTGGAAGATTTTGCATGGTAGTGATAATGTTGTTTTAAGTTTTGTATCGACTGTCTAATTTACATTTCTTAACATAGCCTAAATGTTATGACGCCAAATTAATATTGTATTTTGACAAATAGGTATAATAGTAAGAATATAGTTTTTAATAAAATTTAACTTAATAAAATAACCTTACCTCTAAAAAGTTTATTTGCAAAACAAGTTTTTATTAAACCACTTCATATTTATCGGGACGGAAGCTGATGTCCTGCGAGAAATCGACCGGCGAGCCGTCCTCCGCTTGTGTCACTTTGATAGCTGTCAGTTGTGCCAACGATGTGTCAGACGTCCAAGTGACAGTTATCGGGAAGAAGTCGTTCGGTATCGCTGGTGTTACACTGCAGTTAGACGTTAAATAAAATTTATTGCATAACATAATTTGTAATTTTAAAAAAAAAACATCAAAATCAGATGACCTTTAGGCTACAGGAAGACACAATGGAATTAAAACGCGCGAAAATATTGATCCTATTGTCAGTAAAGTAAAAGCCGGATTATTTTACAAAATTGTTATTTTTGAAACTTAATCCTATACTTACGTGAACTCCAAACTGGCAGTTTTTTGTTGTTTGTTGATAACTGGAATGCTCCACAAAAGAGTGCGGCCTTTTTGTGCGTAGCTGCCCTCCCATTGGTGGACAACTACCGAAGTGTTGCCAGATCTATATCATAGATAATTAAACACTATTAAGATATGACAGGTAAACAAAAAGGTAATAATAGTTTTGTTTTTAAGGTTCAAAGGTGATCGAATGACAACATGAATGTAGTAATAGTTCATTTACATAAAAAACGTTTAAAATATCAATAAAATTCAAACTTATTGCGTAGTGTCTCATTATTAAAATTTAATTTAGATTAATGCGGGGATCATGTGTTATTTCAAGCTTAACGTGGGTCTCCGAGACCAGTCTCCATTTAAAACATATTGTCTATTTTTTCAAAGATAATGAACAGAGAAAACGATTCTTTATAGACATTTTGATCTCGGAAACTAATGATAAAACAAACATTATATTTTAAGAAATAATAACTCACGGCAATGGAATGTTGATGACAACATCGGTTAACACTAAATGGTCCTGCTCCAGCTCGTATTCAATGTTGACGTCACAGCCGCCGCCAGCGCCCTCCGACGGCCAACAGTTCACTGTATCACATCACTTCATGCTCAAGTACACAACTAAGTAATATTTCATTTGAAGCAAAGACTAGAAACTTCTATTCAAGTATTTTAAAAAAAAATTACCAATGATCTACAACTCACTAAATAACGGCACAAAACAAGATATAGAAAAAAAATATGGAACTTTTATGAATAACTACTGCGATTTTATTATACAAAAGTATATTTCTCTAAAAACACCTAAGGAATCATATTTATTGACATTGTTTCATCAAAATCTCTACATGAGTAAAAGAAAACATCGTGATGCTGCACATATCTGAAAAGAAATTCAAAGATATATGTGAAGTCAACCCACACTTGGCCAGCGTGGTTGACTATGACCTAGTCACCTTAGGGTAGGCTCCAAGCTCAGTTGGAACCCATAGTAAGCTAATGAATACAAAAACATTTTTAAATCATCCAAGTCCTTCAATTAGTGTCCTACCTGAAAGTGGAGCCAGTTTGTCATCATTGCCGGTGGTGAGACGCCATTTGAGCACGCCAACATCACTGTGCATTGGGAATGGCCGCTGCACCTGTTTCAGACCTATCACCCCGCTAGACCTGAACGCTTCTTTGTCAACGTTGGGGTGAGTCTGACAGTTATAAAAGTTTTATTAGTAATGCCATTCGGACTGAATAATGCCACTTGGATTTTTCATATTCAAGAAACAATTTAAAATAGACCAAGATTGAATTGTTAGATCTCGAAAAGGTTTATAATACAACAATTATCTAACATATTCGGTTTATAAGTTTTGAGCAGTTTGGTGTACTATCGGGGCATTTGGCGGTACTCTACTTCATGATGATTTTTACTGTTATGCTGTTGTTAACTGCTACCTAATTGTTTCTTTTTTGTACGAAGGGACGGATATCTCTTTGCAAGGAACAAGGGGATTTTTCTATGTGTACACCGCGAGCTGTACTTTCATTCTTATTCTACTTTAGGATAATGGTACATTAAATAGGGCTTTTAAATGCTAACTTTAAGGTGTATTTCCACTAACCTGTAACTGCAGTGGTCTTGTATCCTTGTTGTCAATATGCACATGTATACGTCCATACTGCTCATTCACTATGCGCAGCGTCAAAAGACCTGGACAAACAATATAAATATAGCTATGGGGAAACGCTATGACAAGTGATAACCGACTTTAACACAATTACCTGAGAGTTCAAAGTTCTGTATATCTCCATCACGGCCAAGAGTGAGACTCAAACGTTCCTCGAAACGCAAATGTACGCTGGAAGACAAACATTACAACTTTATAACTTTACTAGTGACGAGTCCCGACTTAGCACGACTAATAACTTAAAATGTTCTCTATTATATCTGATTGAAATCCAAACCGCAAACCATAAACAAACTGCATTTTATTTTAAAACTCAAAACTTTTAGTTACATAACAATTACATTAACTACAGAATAACTTTAAAATGGAACACCATTGAAATTTGACGTTCCGTTGTTTATTTAGCTTCAGATCGAAAAAAACATAGAAACTGTACAAACAGATATTGGAGTTAAACTGAAACTTTCTTATACTTTATGTTACAAGTTGGAATTAAGTAGACGGTAGTTAGTTATAATATCTTACTCTTTATGGTCAGCGGGTAACGGAGCCTTGTCCTTCGCCACGGCGGTGACTTGTGGCGCGAGAGCGGCCACGTCACCTTCCTTGGCCAGACGAGACACAAACGAGTCCACATCCGCACCACGAGATGACAACTTCATTGCTGTACTGGCCGCTTGTCTGTAATTATTTTGTTTCATTTTTTTGTGGTTTTTTTACTGTAATTTTTTCAAATTGTTAGACCTATTAAGTTTACGTAGTTTTTGAACTACGGTAAATGTTGTAATAGTGTATTCCACACTATAAAATAGTTGGACGTATAGTAAAGTTCATCTAAACTTTTTTTTATATCTCAGCAAAACATGATTAGCATTCTTTGCGCAAGGGAACTTTTCTATAACTGGAACACCACAAATTAACGCGACTGTACATCTGGCATTGAACCGAAATTATAATGCAAAAATATTTTACATTGTTTTTTTAAATAAGTGATATTAAAATATATTTTTAACAGGTGTTTTGGCAGTGGAAGCTCAAAGCTAGAGATTGAACCTAGGACAAAATACTTACGTTTCACGAACCGGTGTAGTGGGCAACTTCTCTGCTATCGGCGAGCTTGTTGGCGCGGTGCTTGACCCCATAGAGGAATTACCAAACCCACCACCTAGTTTAAATATTAACATATTAATATTTTATACTGGTAAATTTAAGTTAATCAATCACGGAAGTTGAGTTAGATAAGAGTTTGTATGTAACATTTATGACAATCAAAATAGAGTGTAAAGGACTAAAACGATAAGTGATATTTCATTCAACTCGTATTTTTTCCTTAATCTCACAGTAATACATTCAGCTGGGTTTTAGCGAATGTTTAGATGGATGTTTTAGAAGGTCTCTGCAGAACGGTTGCGTGGATCTCGCTGAAATATTCCATGTAGAACTCCTCATTAAGTTTCTTTAATTGGGTACGGACGGAGTCGCGAGCGACAGCTAGTAGTTATAAAGCTCACTGAATGCGGTGCTGGAGCGTGGTGTCTGCCCACGCTTGGCCGCCTCCAGCTTCTCTCGCTGTAATTCCTTAGCGCGCTCTCGCATACGATTCGCTGCTTCACGTTCTTGTGTCTGTTATAATTATAAGTAAAAAAATCTTAGGATATGTTCTCATGTCAACCCGCACTGGGCCACCTTGACTATGGCCTAGTCACTGACTTAAGGTAGGCTGCGAGCCTCTCAGTGTGGACATATATACATAAATCTCTAATATTTTGTACCTGTCTCACTGCTTGGTAGATCTTCTCTTCATGTGAGTCCATTTCAACAAATGAACGGACCTGGAAACAAAAAGTTTACATTATAACCAGGAAAAATCTTTTCATAGTCTAGTGGCCGTCGCCAGCGACTCCGTCCCCAAGAATGAAAACAACTTAAAAGCCTATGCATTCTTCCAGACTATGATCTACTACATCTATGCCAAATTTCATCCAGATTCATTCAGTCGCTCCGGCGATACCTTCAATCATTCATCCATCTAAACATTCGCATTTATAATATTATAGTAAGAAGCAAGGCTAGCTGTTGCCCATGACTCTATCTGTGCGAATTAAAAAAAAGCTTAATAAGCAGCCCATATGTTCTTCCAGACTATGTTCTACATCTATTCCATTTTATTACACATATTTCATCAAGATCCTTCAAGAAGTCTTCTTCTTGAAGGATCTTGATGATACCTTCAAATAAACATACATCCATCCATCTAAACATTCTTATTTGTAATATTAGTAAGAAGTAAGATTATATTGTCTATGATATTACCTGCGCCAAGTTGACACTCTCCCTGTAGCCCAGTGCGACAATCTCGTCAAATGCAAACAGCAAATTGAAAGCTTGGTTCAACACCTCCATCTCGGTTAGTTGAGTGCAATACTCTGGTACCTGAGAAGAATGAAAAGGAGATTAACAAAGGAAATATATGATGCAAAAGTAAGTGGCAGTATCGGAGTGCTCCCAGACTGACTTATACTCTGCAGATTGATGAAATAATCAAGAACAGTGGTATTAACAGCATCCAAAACTGATGTGTATGTATGCAAAGATGTATGAATATAGAAGCGAGTGCTGTGTCATGACCACACCAAATGGAGGGCCATTACTCTGCCTAGACCACTGGGTTAGGTTCATGAGTTATATTGTTGTTGCTAACAATTATTTACAACTAATTATGCAGATAAGTAGAGAATATAATTATAGAGCAACTCTATTTATTAATTCATGAAGCCGCAGAAAAGATGGATTGAAGAGAATTTAGCACCGAGCTGACTCTTTGTGCTTTAGTGGTTAATGAAGAAGTATTTAAATGGTGATTTTAAATGAATGCTATGAAATTAATTAATTTACAAAAGGAATATGCTATCACTTACAACTCTACTGAACAGCCGCAATGTTTCCAAATCCTCTAAGATGTTACTAGCTTTAGTTGTAATTAGCAGCATATATAACTTATCCAAAGGCTGGTACACATATCTGAAAGTAGAAATACAATGTCTGTAGGAACAACATAATTTAAACCAAAATGTAATTGAAAAAGAGTAAAATACTTTTACTCTACCTGACAGACTCTGTTTCTACAAAAGTGTGTTGCCGACCACCGGTCATCAGTTTCGGGAAGGCCGCTAGTAACCCTTCTATACGTGCTTTCGTCATCTCCACAAACTGCCGAGACACTAATGCTGAAATTGAAATAATAAATATTATGGCAAGATTGCTTCAATGTATTTTTCCAATAAACGATGACAACTGTTTGAAATACCTTTCCCTGCCTTTGTACATACTGTCGCCGCTATAAGCACCTGAAATTAAATGAAAACACACATTGAAATCACAAAACCCTTGCCAGAAAACATATTTAATTATTTCATAATGAATTCGTAACATTTCTTCTAGTATTTATGTAGAATATATGAAGAGTTGTTAATAATAAAGTAAAATTATATTATTACCATTTTGTAATATAAATAAAGATTGATATTTTGTTGAGTTTCGTGTTTAAATTTTTTGACAACAATCTGACACACAATGCAAAGATGACGTGTAGACATTTATTTTTCATGCAATTAGTTTTGGTCAGAAGCAACACACATAAAACGTTCTTAAGAACTATCTTGTGTTGATTTTCATTTTATTTTATTTGACTATTCTTTTACTATAACTTTAAAAGCATTTCATTTTATTTGACATGTATCAAAGCAAACGTTGTTGTGAAAAATCTGATTAAGTATATAAAAAAAAATGTTTAATTATCTTTATAAAATCATCGCGGAACCACGGAACAGTGGAGCGCGGAACGGAACACCACCCAAGCAATGTATAAAAATGTCAGATATGTCAGCACAGAACTCGTAGCACATTGTGTTCATTTGTATTTTCTTACATTTATTTCTATATTTCAGTGAAAAACTTACAATTTTCTAAAGTTATTACAATTGGTATATGTAATATGAAGCCAACTATTTAAGTGGGAGATTTAATTCTATGGAATTCGTCTTGATATTTCAAAGGCCAACAAACAGTAGTGAGTAGATTCAATTATTTTGCATCTTTACTCTTTTAGTTGTAATTGATACTTAAGGTTTTATGCTCTGGTATTGGCGTTTGTTAATGTTGATATACTATCATTATTTCGGCTACAGATCTAACATTTCATTTGCATACAATACATATTTCTTTATGCCTGATAGACTTTAGGTTCGAAGAGTATTCTTATCGTATTTAGTGAACATAGTCATTACTGATATTGGAAGTAGTTTGTTATTCATCTAGTACTAGATATAGTTACTGTTGATATGTAATATGGACATGTACCAACATTTACTAGAGAGCAATTTTTAAGGTATTTCTTATATTAGAATTTTTATATACTTTTCATTTATTAAATATGTAAAGGTACTATAATGTCGAATTTACTGGATTAGTATGCATATTTAACATGTGTAATTTAAAATCTTTTGAATATTGATGTGACATTTGCATACTAAAGGACGAAACCACAGTCCGAAGTTCAGAAGTATGCATAGAAATGAGGAGATGTGAATGCCGTAACCGTACAGACGGGGGAGGCTCGGGGGGCTGCCCCGGGGATGACCGGGACCCTCTGATAAACTCCCCTATTATCTTGCAGGAGGAGCCCCACGAAAATCCTAACCTTGTAAGATCTGTTATCAATTTCTATTGTAGCTAGCACAATTTATGTTTCGTGCACCCTACAATGTCTTGTGTACACCATGCATGTTTAAAACTAGTAAAAAAAAATAGCCTGACTGAATATATACTGGCAATCTAGCAAAAAAAAATTAATGACACCTCACTGTTTAAAATATCCATAAAATATAAAACCTCCTTGTCAGTCAGCCCAACTTTACAGGCATTTATTTATAGTTTTTACATAGCTAAATGTTGTAGTTTTTATTTGCTCATTTATTCACTAATGAAAACACAAAAGAAAAAATTTACATTCCAATACACACTGTGGTTTTCATAATAGGTTAAAGTCTTTAAATAAGAAACTTGGCTGTTAAGCTAAGAAGCATTCTCATTAAAAAAAAGTTGTTCTTTTTTCAAACTGATACTGGTCAAAGAGTAGTTAAGGACCTTTAAGGTATGCGCTTATTTGCCCGCACTGGACGCAGCGCGCACCCAGCCTGCAATGGATGGACAGTGCTATATAAAATTTGTACAAATGAAACTAAAATCCATTGTATTATGTGCGATGTGTCTATCATGGGCCAATGGACGCATAACTTTAATGGTCTTTCTTAAGATTATCTATTATCTAGCAGATTAAATGTCATTCAAGGTAATTGACATGCCCATAAATTCGTAGACCATTATCTTATCTGTGCAGTTCAAGTAATAAGACTTTTAAAATGAATGACTAATAGCTCTTTATCTATAGGAACGCATTTCAGTATTATAGTAAAGTAACTAACATGCGCGCATTTATGCATATATTATTTTCTTGGTTAAGTGTGTGTTTGTGTAATTTATAATGAGAAAAAAATTGTATATAACAAAAACTACGAAGAAGGTAGGATTGTGTTTATTAGTAATGAAACAGTGGTTCGGGACTCGTTTATTTTGATAATATGTTATTCAAACATACTTACATTTAGAATTTATTTCAATTTGATAAATATTAATGTAAAAACGAAGCAACCTTTGTCCCTTGTTAATGCAAAAACATTAATTTATTAGTTAACTAGCTGTCGCCCGCGACTACGTCCGCGCGGATTTAAAAAGAAACTATTGGTTGCAGCGTTACTGGCTGACAATGTAATTTGTTGTCCATATTTCGTATTATTTTCCCCATTATTGATGTCTTTATGTTTACCCTGGTAATAGTTAAATTTATTTAAATCTTTTACATAATATTATTGCAATTATATTATTAGTATGGTCAATTTGACCATGTTTATTATGAAAAAAATTACGAGAAGACAAAATAAATAAGCCTAAGAATAGGAATATGAGGACGGAACGCACTTTCAAACTGTTTTAGATTTATGTTACAGCAGCGGGGTTAGACATAGTGCATTCGCTTCGAAGCGATTCCATAACGAACTTCAAAAACGTATAGAATTGACATATAGAGTTGTCGCGCGTCAGTTCTATACATTTTTGAAGTTCGCTATAGAATCGTCTCGAACCGAACTTACTTTGTCTAACCCAAGGTGGTAAGAGAACAAAAACAAACATGATATGCAGATTAATAATTAAATGTTTTTTTAAAAAACAAAGCTATACTATGTTACAATATGTAATATATTCCATTACAAACACAAAAGTTAATTTACAATTGCAAATGCGTAAATAAATCCCTTGACCTAAACCGATAGGGCGAGATCATGGATTTCCGTTTGGAACGAATCAGACAGATATATATCTATCTCTCTTCCACTTACGTGCACGCATACGCTACGTCACTCTAAGTTGCCTTTAGTATGTTAGCATGTCGGCCTATATGTGTTCCTGTCCTTTGCCAACAATTTAATTGCAAGATTCTTTTTATATATTCATTTATTTTAACTATATGTCGATTACATTGAACACTAATAATGGAGTCGCTTAGCGTAGTTTTAGTAACAGAAATCTACACTAAGAGGAAGTCTATTTCATGTAGTAGCCCTTAGTATCCAATTGTGAATTCTGAGTATGGCAGCCTGTAATTTTGTGTAAAACAACTTTCTCTCTGGGTCTTTCTGGGGGCGTCTAGGAAAATAGGTACTGATTGTAATTAGGCAAACTCAATGAACAACGCGAGAAAAGGGTTACATTTTCGTGAGTTTAGAGATATATGTTTGATTATACCTAGAATTTAGGGTTAGGTAACCAAAAAGTTTCCATAACAAAAAAAAAGTTGGTAGACTAATCCAAAGGATAGATTTTTTCTTAATTTCTTTTGAGGCACGAATAATCAACACATTCAACGCCACCGGCTTGCAAATTTTGAAATGAAAAAAAAATCGTTGCATGGAACGAGTTAAAATGTATCATATTTAGCGATGCCAATTTGCAACTGTAACACAAATCCCATATCAAATATATGTATAGACTTGATACATGAATATTACTCACGGTAAAATCGAAATCCGTTACAATCAATGGTAGCAGGTAATTGATATTTTACACAATTGTTGTAAGCAACGCGATATTGCAACAAACACATTGTTAACATTGACTTCTTACTAATATATGCATTTATTTAATGCGAATATTTGCATAGATTAATGGATCCTCCCTCGAGGTAGGCAACGCATCTGCAATTGCTGGCTATGGGCAATAGTCGCTTCCCTATTTCAACGATTCTAGGTGGCCGGACGCTCGTTTGCCGTCTTTTAATATAAAATAATGGATGTATGGACGTTTGTTTGAAGCTATCTCCCAAACGGCTACATGTATCTTGTTGAAATTTGGCATAGATGTAGAACATAGTCTGGAAGAACACATAGCCGTGGATGGAGTCACTGGCGAGTCAGAATATAAGGAAAACTTGAAGGTTTTTTTTTAATAGACCTAAATACTTGTACTATTTTGTAATGTTGATAGTTAGATTAAAAATAACGTAATAATGCCAAGGATTTTCAAGCTGGGATTACGGTTTTACTAGCTTTTGTCTACGAGGAGTAAAAAAAAACTTAATTAGTAGCCATCTTTTTGTACATCTATATCAAATTTGACCGCGATCCGTTAAGCCGTTTTGGAGATACCTTCGAACAAACATCGATAAATCCATCCAAACACTCGCATTTATATTAGTAATAAGTAATATTAGATATCTTTTTTTTTTTTTATTTCATAAGGTGGCAAACGAGCGAGCAGCCACCCGAAATCGCTGAAATAGCGAAGCGACCGTTGCCCATAGACATATGCGATTGCATATGCGTTGCCTACCTTTAATCGACGGAGGAGAGGATGCACAGAAATATAATATTTTCCCCTTCCATGCATCCTCTCATCCGGAAAGTCCATTTCCACTTCCCATCCTTTCCTTATAAGAAAAAGGGTGGGAAGGGAAAGTGGACTAAATTGGGCCTCCGGGACGCACACTCATCAGACGAAACGCGGAATTGCTTCCACTTCACGCCTGTCTTCTGTGTGGTCGTGGTATTTCACCGGGCGAGCCGGGCCAAGTCGTGCGAAGATGTTAAAGCGGGCTCTACCACTGTTAAAACTTACTACCAATATGAATAATTATCTATTATTTCAATTTTTTTAAAGTATAATTTATTCCTGGACATTACAATAATGTTGGCCGAAAAGAAATGATCTTTTGACCTTTGGAGTTTGAATAATGAACAATATAATTTAATATGTCTGGTATTTGCTGATATCATTCCACTGATAGGCAAACTAATAAGTCAAAACCACGCTTCAGTGGAAACGACCCATAACACTGGCTTAGTGTATGCTTAATTATAAAGATAACAGAGTTAGCTATATTTGACACAAGCTATAGCCCGCGAGTCCGTCCGCGCGTATTAAAAAAAAACTTAGTTGCCTATGTGTTCTTCCAAACTATGTTCTACATCTATGCCAAATTTCATCAACATCTGTTAAGAGATAAACAAAGGTAACGTATTAGGCACGGACGGAGCCTTGGGCGACAGCTTGTATTGTTATAAATACTCAAAAAACGATATATTAAAAAATTACTCGAAGTATTGTCATGTACCTTTGGATGTGTGGATAGAGCGAGAGCGCCTCATTTATTCCTCTTTCTGTCTCTGTCTTGTAACGAATTGTGACGTGACCTTGAACTTCAATTATCATTGTTTTAGCCGGAATTTCCATCATATTATCACTATATCTAAGAAGTACAATTAGTAGAAATGATTGTCATAAACCTATTAAGCAATGACATGTTAATATACATATTAAGCAATGACACACAATACAATAAAGAATTAAAATTTCAAGCTGAAATGTAGCAATTTAATTAGCTTCGAATTGCCTTTTTTGTAAAGTTTTACTCTCGAATCACATGAACGGCAAATGAGTAAAACATTCTTTGTTTTTAATTTAAAAAAAAAGACAAGCTTGGTTGTATGCCAGTTTCAAGCCAGCTTTAGTGTTATTTAAATTATATTTAAGTATGTATGCTATCAACATAAGCAAGCAAATTAATGTTATACAAACGTCTGTAATTTTTAAGCTACATTTGAAACGTCTCAATGCTTATCCATGTTTTATTTCATACTCTTTTTGTAGTTAATTCGTATGTCTTTTTAATGTTAAGCAAGTTTACCGAGGGTTTTTGAGACCAGAGTTCCGTTTTGTCAATAAGGACAAGGATGAAGATATCTTTTATACAGATATTTTGGTCTCAGAAATTAACGGTTAGTCAATAACACTCCTCTATCATAAAGAAGATTCAGTTTTTGGGGGTAGTTGAAACTTTTAAGTGATTAAATTATACGATAACTTTCTCCTATTGTTCTTAACATGAAGAATAGATGCTGCTGCTCTTTTGTCAAGGAATCTTTTTTTAAGCAGTAAAAGCTACTATATAAATGTGTACGTATGTGTGTATGTAACTTATTACTATAAAACTGTCTGTGTGTGCGCAGTCGTGCGGCATCTGCACGATGTTCCCTTCGTGCATGTCGCTGCTGCCGCGCCGCAGCGAGCCGCGCCCGCCGCGCCCCGGCCAGGCGCCCGTCCTCCTCAACGTCTACGACATGTACTGGACCAATTGGTAAGACATGTTACATTTTTAATTTTTTTTTATATTCTTTTCATTACGCCAGCTTTATTCTAATTAGAACTTTTTCTAGTTTCCCTTTTTTTATTTGGCCAGTAATATTTATTTTAAACCAGCTTTCGCCCGTGACTTCGTTCTTGCGGAATTAAAAAAAAACATGAATAGTAGCCTATGTTTTTTCCCAGACCGTTTAGTATTTGTTAAATCCGTTCAGCCGTTCTGGAGATACCTTCAAACATCCATTCATCTAATCATTCGCATTTATAATATTAGTAAGATGTTGATTTCTTGGTTTTGATTTTCTTTTATTTAATGTTTCTATCAAATGTTTGCTCGTTTATTTAATTATAGACCGAGTATTGAACCAATTAAGGAAGTTGTTACGAAATAAGACGCTCTGTTGGCCTCCAATTCAGTAACTCGACCATTTAATTAATGTAGTATACCTTTGATTTTAACACACACATAATAAATCTATTCTATTACAAAAACTGTGAGTATATTAACATTTCCTTATGATAGTATTAAAAAAAATGTTTTCCGTAAGGCCGGTAAAGCATCTGCGGTTCCTCTGGCGTTGCGGATGTCCATGGGCGTCGGATCAAATAATATTACCCGATTCGTTGCTCGTTTGTCCCCTTCTCCTATAAAAAAAAAAGTTTTGACAAAATAAAAAAAAAACAAATAAAATGTATAAAAAATACAAAGTTGTCGTTGGTATTTGAAAGACCTTTACTAAAATATATTCCTCTACCTTCATAAAGATTCTATATGTTTGTAACTGGCCTGATCACCCCGAAAATTTTAAAATTATAAATAATATCTTTGTTTGCATTTCTGAAGACAGGATAAAGTGTTACTCATCATTATTTCTGTCCACCGTCCATCTGCCACAAACATTCAGAGTGCCCATTATTGATTCTTCATATTTAAAGAATACTAGCTGTCGCTCGCGACTCCGTCCGCGCGGGATTAAAAATAGATGTTGGCCGATTATCAGACCTACTCAATATGGAATGGTATGGAAACGAAAATTGTGACACGAGAATGTTATACATAAGATTTAAAAGTATTTTAGTGTACTTATTACGAGCGCCTCAGTAATTATAACTGTATGGAACGGTGTCTATGGTACTCGAGTTGAGAGTTTGAACTTGGAACTCGACTTCGCTCTTTTGCATCTGGCATTTGGATATGTGAATTTCTTTATAATTAAAAAAAAGAAGCAAAATTTATGAAAATGTACAGATTTAGATGACGAAATTTGCAATGACTCAAAATAACCCTACAGCGTACACAAACAGTCCAATATTCCTCTTTATGATTCATTATTTTATTTTTCAAGTAAATTTATTATAGTCTCATATTATTAAAGAGAATTAGAAAAATAGCAATATCTTACTAATATTATAAATGCGAATGTTTAGATGGATGGATGTTTGTTTGAAGGTATCTCCGGAACGGCCGAACGGATCTCAACGAAATTTGGTATACATATAGAACATAGTCTGGAAGAACACATAGGCTACTTATTAAGTTTCTTTTTAATTCCTCGTGGACGGAGTCTCAGGCGACAGCTAGTGTGTATAAATATGTTTCGGTATTAATCTACAATATAGAGACAAACATATAACTTCCATTGTCTTAGTATCCGATATCAGACAGTTCGTATCAAATACCGTTAATGTCACGTTCAGGTCATTGACTTTATCAATTGATTGTAACTATTAGTCAATAAATTTATTACTAACAGATTGTCGTCAACAATACTAAAGTAGGCATGTTTTGTTAGCTGTTCATAATATCTCTTTCTTTATTTAATTCAAGTTCAACAAGTTTTTTTTTTTTATAATATTTTGCTTAATACAACATATGTTTTATGTTAGATGCAAAAGAAAGCAAATCATTAACAAATTTCTGCAGTATAAAACTGAAAAAACATCTCTTCTTATCTTTTATTTATTATAAAAGTCTGGGAAAGAACACAATTCGGCCTCACACAGACATTCATCTATACTGTCGCCCGCGACTACGTCCGTGCGGTATTAAAAAAATCTTGCTAAGTAGCCAATGTGTTCTTCCAGACTATGTTCTACATCTGTGTCAAATTTCATCAAAATCCGTAAAGCCGTTCTCATCTTAATATCACATTACTAAAACCATAAAGAGGAAAGTTTTGATTGTTTGCATTGAATAGGCTACGAAACCATTGAACCGATGGAATAGGATATAGGTAAGCAATGCATCTGCTTCGCTATTTGAGCGAATTCAGGTGGCAGCTTACTCCTTTGCCAACTTATAAAAAAACGATCTATATGGGCGTGTTACAAGACATGATATAGGTCTTTGATTCTATATATTTCTTAGGTATATCAATTGTACCATGATCTGTGTGTACACAGGTACACGGCAGGCGCGGGTGTGGGCGTGTTCCACAGTGGGGTACAAGTCCACGGGTCGGAGTGGGCGTACGGTGGGCATCCGTACGCGTTCACGGGAGTGTTCGAAATCGCGCCGCGGGACGAACGGGAGTTGGGGGAACAGTTCAGGTTCAGGTGAGACGTGGAAAGTACTAAGAGTTTTGTGAACAATGGAGAATTCAAGGAATTAGTTGTTACTAATCGTTTTATGGTCCTTCGAGTCATGTACTTTATTAAGAAGTGACCTTGTGTCGCGAAAAAGTTGAAACATTTTGTGATTTCATAGAAAAAAAAATAGAATAGCTTAGATAAAGAGATACAATATCTATCATAAGATTTATTTTAAACTATCCGGGGCCCGCGACTTTGTCCGGGCGGAATTGATAAATAACATTATTAGTAGACTATGTGTTCTTTCAGGCTATTTTCTACATTCAAGCTAAATTTAAGGGAAATCCGTGCAGTCGTACTGAAGATACCTTCAAACAAACATCCATCCATCTCTATCTCATTCTCTGTCTTCAGCCATATGATGCCCACTGGTGGACATAGGCTTCCCATCCATCTAAACATTTACTTATTAGAATTACTGGACATAAAAATAATAATATTAACTTACTTGTAACATAAGGGTTTTTAAAATTTTATTTCTGTTACAACGATTCCCCCAATTTTATATTTAATTATTATTGATGAATTGTCGGGTCGTTGCTAATGGCGACAGTTTAGGTACACTCGATAGCTACTTATTAAACTTTATAATCATTTTGTACTTTGATTTATATGAATAGAATATTAGTCACTTAATTATTCAAAAGAATATTAAATGAAGTCTTTTAAATTAAGAATTAATCGCGCTCTATTGTTTTAACATTGTTATTTCCTAATAATACCAAATAAATTGGGAAATCTTTAATATTTGAGGTTAGAATCGACATTAAATCTAACCGTGGATTGCTAAGAATAAAATCTCTGTCATAATTGTTTTAAAATTTGATCTCAGAAACCCACGGTAAGCAGGTCAAGGATAAATCATCAGAAATTTTATTGCATAAATCCGATACTACTTTCTTGTTTTTGTTAACTGACTACAAAAAGGAAGACTTTCTTTCTTCTATGTCTATTTTTTTTCGTATCGTATGTAATAGCAGCAATAATATACTATTATTTAAATTTCGATACAATATAAAGATACGATTCCCAAACGGACATATACCGTACAGATCGTTGACATACTCCAGAAGGTTCATATCAAGAACCGATGTGCATGTATGCGTAGATGTATGAATGTAGGAGTGACAGAGTTGTGTCTGTGTCCCTGCCTACCTCTCTGGGTTAGGTCGTGAGTTATATTGTAATACACTGATAACAGTTTTTATGTATAAACAGACAGAGCGTGCACATCGGGTACACGGACTTCAGCGAGGAGGAGGTGCGCCGGCTGGTCTCAGAGCTCGGCAAACAGTTCCGCGGTGACAGGTCAGTTGTCACGACAACCTTTCACCAACATCTCATCAAACTATCAACAACCTCTCACCAAACTATCATCAACCTCTCATTAAACTATCACCAACCTCTCATTAAACTATCACCAACCTCTCACCAAACTATCATCAACCTATCACCTAACTATAACCAACCTCTCACTAAACTCTCATCAATCTCTTATCAAACTTTCACCAACCTGTCACAAAATTATCACCAACCTCTCACTATTACCAACCTATATCCAAAATGCACAAACCTATCATCTTACACTAAAATATCTACACTAGCGACTGCGATTCTGTCCGCTTGGAATTTAAAAGAAAAAACTTAAAAACTTGTCTATTCGTTCTTACAGACTATGTTCTACAGTTGTGCCAAATTTCATCAAGATCCGGTGAGCCGTTCCGGAGATACATTCAAACATCCATCCATCTAAAATTTCACTTTTTTAATATTACATTAAATAATTTATTTTTCAGGTATCATCTTATGAATAATAATTGCAACCATTTCACGTCCGCATTCTGTTTGGTGAGTTTAATATTTTCAGACGATAAAAGCATAGCCTTATGTATATTAAATTTAATAATAGACCTAAAAATTTTGATATCTATGTATTATTTCCAGGCGTTATGTGAACGCGACATCCCCGCGTGGGTTAACCGTCTTGCTTACGTCAGTTCCTGTGTACCCTTCCTACAGAGATGCCTGCCCAAGTATGTTTTTATATTATGACATCTTATTTAAAACATAATATAGTAAACCACTACACCTTTTACATTTAATTAGCTTTTGCCTGTAGCTTCGTCCAAGTAGAATATAAAAAAAAACTTGTTAAATAGACTATGTTCTACATCTATGACAAATTTCAGCGGGATCCATGCAGCCGTTCTGGATATATCATCTAACAAACATCCATCTATCTAAACATTTGCATTTATTATATTAGTAAGATAAGATTTAAAGAAAAAATATTACATCAAATTTTATAGAATTAAGATTTGTATTGATTTGTTTATTTATTTAATCGTGCAGAGAATGGCTGACGCCGGCGGCGCTGCAGCACTCCCTGGCGGCGCACTCCCGCTCCTCTTCACCCAACACGCCGCAATAGCACCGTTAGTACATATTTTAATTATTTATACTTTTATAAAATCACATATTAATAATGTATACAAAATCCCAAATTAATAATAACTATAGGTATCAAATCATTTGATAATAATTTGCATGAAATCCCATATTAATAATGTGTTTAAGATCACGAGTCAATAATAGGTATAAAATCACATTTTAATAATCCCAAGTGAGTAAAAAGAAACAAATCTCATGTTAAAAATGGGTAGTGTGTTTAATAATGAGTAAAAATACTGATTTAATTATTATTAGTAGAATATAAAACCGTCAAGTAATAATAAGTATTAAATTCCATGTTTAATAATGGATATAAAATACCAAGTCGGTGTTGAATCCTAAGTTAAAATCAAAGTTTAATAATTATTGTTTTATAATAATTTTAAAATCACAATTTAATAGTAGATAAAAATCAAAGTTGAATAATTGTTATATTGAAATAATTTGTCCGCAGCAGCCGGCCGGCCGCGGCGCCGCCCTCACAAGTGTTGTGCGTAGTTACATAGACTTTGACAATTGTTCTGGCGCATTGTCGAATTATTACTGTATGACTACTCGTGATTCATACCTCTTTGCTCCATACAACAAAATGGCGACTGTGATAACAAAACATTTTTTTTAACTGACTAGTAATAAAAAAATTGTGTTCTGTGAAAATTATACTTTATTTCCTACAAAATTTGTAGTGATTATTATAATTATTAAATAGACAATTGTATGTAAATTTTCAACCGCCATTTTTGTTCCTTTAAGCAAAGAGGTTATGTAATTTTTTAATATGTTATTGTAGTTGTTAAGTCTTTAAACGAAATACAATTGTGTAAGTTTGTTAAATAAATCTACCTAATATTGAGTGCCTTGGAGTGAAAGGGATGTGACTAGTTTTTAATATGTGTATCCCTTTCCTCTGCAAAACATGGCCGCCACCGTTACATATGCTTGCTTCACTTCGTTACGTTGGTTTTGTTATAAATTATAATCTGCGTCGCTTTTGACAAGACAATTTAAAACCAAATGTCAAGATGACATCTGTCAAATCTGACAGCTAATCTAAAGACGTCATTATTAATTTTCTTTATTGTCTTTTTTTGAAATGATTTCAGAGAAACTTTATATAATAGTAAAAACAACAAAATTATAATTTAAAAACCCACCGTAGTGACCAAATCAAAATTTTTGTAAATTTAACATAGAATTAATGCAACATATATTTTGCATATTTTTAATACAAAGCGAAGAAACCGGCACTCTTTGTTAGTTGTGAAAATCAAATTAGTGTGAATAAGTAGGTTTAGATATCCGTCCGTTCTGGTTCAAACATTTAAAAGTCAAATTGATTGCGAGCCTTTATAATCTATATCTGCCTACTAATGACATAAATTAATTTGGAGGTTATGTTATTTTTACTTGTCATTTTGACAGCTGTCACATCTCATAACCATATTTTAATTATTTATATTAATTTAAAAAGGCGTATAAATATCGGCCTACTACTAATATTTTCATATTTAGAATGCACTTTTGGTTTAAGGTTTTTTTTATGAATATTCATAACTTTTTTCAACAACCAATTCCTATTTAACGTTGGTTTCCACTGTCAAAACACTTGTATAAAATCATATTTTCATCATCCTACATTAATTTATAGCATCACGCTTTTTCATTTTTTCGTTTGTTCTTATATCCTTTCATATAAAAGTAATAAGTAAAAAGAGAACATATATTTAGATTTAAAGTATTAATAAGGGTTTGATTAGTAAAGTTATCTAGGAAATAGCAAAATCTCAATCTATTTATTTTGATAATGCGCCAACAGATGTTTTTAATGACGTTTTTCAAACGAGAACCATTTTTTTTATTTAAATGTTTTATTATCTATGCATACTTGGCTCAACGATCTGTGTGCCTTTGCTTTTTTATCTGTTGACAGAACGTCTTACTTTTACTTTTGACATCTGTAATATTGTCTGATTTATTTCATTTTAATTTGTAATTAAATACTTCCCATTTGTAAAACGTCGTATCATTGTGTTTAAAATGTAAATATTCATAGTATTTTCGCGGGCGGGGGAAATAATCCCATGTTGGTCCACGGTCCTTAAATTGTCTACAATTTAAGAGTATTTTTGTAATGTCGGTTAATCAAATTCTATTATCTTCATTTATTTTTATTTTACTTATAAACATGTCTTATTCAAATCAAACATAACCTTAAAAAAATGTTTTTGTTTCTAAAAAATATGATTACTTCTCCCGCTTCGCTGTCATAAGGAACATTCTAGAAAACAAGTGCCACTTCGTTATTACAAAGGTGTCGTCTATTAAACACGTGATTTTTTTAGTACATTAGTAACCCCCCCCCCCCAATCAATCATGAATATTTTACTTCACACAAATTTAATGACTTTATAATCATTAAATTTCCGTCATAACTCAGAAATGAATACACGTTTATTTTATGCAGTCCAGCGGGGCTAGACAAAATGCATTCGTTTCGAAGCAATTCAAAAACAATTTTTTTTTATCTATGTAACTGATTCGCGACATTCGCATGACATATCGAAAGTTATTGTCTGTGCTATACATTTTTGAAGTTCGTTATGGAATCGCTTCGAAGCAAATGTACTTTGTCTATCTCCGCAGTCCTCTTTGTGATGTTTTAAGATTTTTATCGGAAAACCCCCTTTAATTGGCCTCACGTGATTAATAGACGATGCCAAAGATAATTGTAATTTTAGAAAATATATTCGTAGGAATTGTGATGGTTGATTACTTTCACCAACTGCGGATATCGTCTGCAGTGACTTGTCACACATGTCATCTCGCACATTCTCTTTGAAATAAAAGAGACAAAATATGTCAAGACAGTTGACAGCAGACGTGATCCGCAGTAATATTTTTTAATATTTAAATTCATGCGATTTAAATGCATCTAGATTTTATATGGTCTTTAACTAGCTTTTTATACCACCCCCTATTTTCTAATTTTTTATAGATTGCTCTTGATTGTAAATAATCCTTCAATAGTTTTAATATTCGTATAAATAAAATCGATTGTTAATATATCGATAAAATACAATCGAAATGTCATATTAATTTGCCATAAACGTTATTTTTTAAACTTATAATTTAAAGTTATAGATTTATAACTTATAGATACTTAATCTAACATGAAAAGATCTCTCAAGGCCTTTTGTTGGAAAAGATTCCTTCAGTGTTGTCATAGAATAAAAAATATCATTCGAAAATCGATTCTCGATTAAATGTCAAACTTGTATGCAACACTATCTATAGGTTATTTATCTATGGATGTAGTCCTTACACACTAGTATTAAAAAAAAACTAAATGTCAAAACTAAACTATGCAGTTATCAAAGAGTAATTTTGTAAAACATTGCTCTTTGTTAAATATAAAAGTTATTGTTTTTCGATGTTGAAAAAGTTTCTCGCGCTTTTCTAGTGTGTAAGTACTATATTATATATTTTTAATAATCGCAGTTTTAAATTCCCAGCACCTATTTATAAATTGGTTTTATAAAATCAAAAGAGGTTATAAATTAGGACGTTCGTGTCACTTTCATTATATAGTAATTTTAGAAATTCTATAACTGATTATAATCTTAGATGGTTAAAATTATTAATCACAATATAACGTAGAACTGTTATTCGTAGTTGTTGTATTTGTTTATTAATTAAAACAGTTTAAAATATTTAAATCAAAAATATTGAATTGAATTTGTTTTGTTAACCAAAATCGAAATTTAAAAAAAAACGACGATTTTTTGCAATGGCAACTTAGTAAACGTAAATTTAAAAAAAAAAAGATATCCTTTACTGAGAATTTTAAACTGCCTTTTATTCTAAAATCTATTTTTTTAATTTGTAATCAACATATTATTTACTAAAGTTAAATCATGTTTATGTAGTTTGTATTATTAATGTGGTTTGGATTTATTGTTAGTACACTTTGTAAACTTTAAGACTACGACAGCAACGAAATTTAATCCACGAAATAATTATTTCTTTTAACCTGATACAAAAAAACTTTTTTTTTAAACTGAAATGTATTTGGGTTACAATTGAAAGAAAGATAAATGTGGTAACATTGTTTTTGAAGCTGCCAGTAATTTATCTCAAAATTTATTTTATCCCGGCTCGAAATTTATATAAAATATAATTTAAAAATATGTTGCAAGGCCTCAAAAATTAACCCATTCAAAGCGAAATCGATAGTTTTCGTTATCCGGGATATTTGAAACAAAAGCCATGCTAAATCGATTTTCTAACATTAAATGGAATCATCGAGTTGAATTTCACAATCGAATAACTGTTTATTGTCTTATATCAGAGATATATAACCTATAGTTATCTTATCCGAATCCAGAAGTGAGACGAATAAGACATTCGGTCTATGTTTTAATTTACGATAGGACGTCAAACTTTTATGAAACGCTCCATTATAGGTTATGTGTCTATGGTCTGTGCCTATGTTGAATTATTTGAAATAAGTGAGAAGAAAAATGGATTAAGTGTTCATGAATTAAATTTAAACTCAAATATGTATAAATAAGACGATTATAAGCCGCTAAATAAACAATTTTGACGTATATTCAAGTGATGTTATTTACCGTGGGTTTCTAAGACTAAAATCTTTGTATAAATCATATCGTCATCCCTGTAATTATGTTTGACAAATAGAGTTAACATGTTAAAAACGGGGATTTTGGTCTCAGAAACTCACGGTTAAACATTTTGTACGTGTGATTTTACTTGTTTAAACTTTGGTGAATTGTCTTATTAAGTTTTAGTTTAAATTAGTTTTTTACTTTCATGAACTTTACTGTTTTTAAGTATTCTCCGCTTATTTTCCACGTGAACGCATTGAATGGGTTAGAAAATTATTTAGGCATTCGGCATTTCTTGCAATAGTTTTTGTGCAGAGTGAAAAACCTCTATTTTGTATTACAAATTGAATATTGTAATGAAATAGGTTATAGTAAAACTCTGTTGAATACTTGTATCTCTTTTCATTGAGTTGAATTATGAAAACTTGAAACTCATTGATTGGTTGTAATTTAAAATGTTTCACAAATTGTCAAAATAAAAATATATATTGACAAGTTTTTTGGAATAAATAAAATGTGTAAACCTTTTAAATGTTTTGTTTTAAAGTTGTAATTAAATATGAACCTTATGCCATAGCGATAATAGTATGGCAAAAATACAAATTCAGATTCTACACTATTTTCAACCTTATCTTAATAGAATAAGGTTTATATTTCGTTATCAATTGTTATTTTCCCCAAAATGCATACAAACGCCGTCTAAATCATCAAACAAATGCAAAACTTTAGATGGATGAATGTTTATTTGAAAGAATCTACGGAACGACTGCATGGATCTCGCTGAAATTTGGTATAGATGTAGAATATAGTCTGGCTACAAACATAGGCTACTAATTAAGACGGAGTCGCGGGCAACAGGTAGTATTATATCATGAAATAAAACTCCAAATAAATCCTTAAAACAATATATTTGATATCCATTCATTGTAATACAACGAGTCATACATTCATACTCTCACAAACTTACCACAAACTTTGCGGATCAAATTACATCTAAAACTACCGTCAACTTAACGTTGCCTTAATAACCTTAAAATACATAATATTATACATTTAGAAAAAAAACCACAAGATTCCGTGCTTTTATTTTTCCACGATTCGTGAACTAAAACGTGCTTATGAAAAATATTTTAAATCTGTAAAGGCAAAACAAATATGTTCTTAGCTTAAAAGAGACCGAAATATCTTATATTTAAAACCTTTAAATATTTTAAATACATAAATATATAGTCCAATTACAAGATTTAAGGTAGAATTCCATTGTTACAAAATATTGAAATCCAATTTCTTTAACAAGAAAAAAGAGATCAATTTATATATAGTAGAAACTCACGGTTAATTTAGTTTTATACGCTAAGGATATTTATGTATTTAAAAGTTAATTTTCACTTATATTAATGAGGGATAATTAAAAACTCCGTCTGACACGTGTTTAGAAAGAATGGTAATCAGTAACTAATATATTAATTTATAATTATTGTTATAAAATATTCGTTACATTAAATGTAAGATTTTATAGACATTTTTAAAATTGCAGTGAACGTGCAACAAAAAAATTGGTTCAATTCCAAAATAAAGGCAGCAAACTATTTTTTTTTTATTTTACATTCCTATTGAATAAATATATAAGCAATTATATTTATTACAAACATTAAATTCAATATTTTTTAAAAGAGAAGCAATTTTTAAATATGTTTTTCGTTATTTTTTTTAACATTGAAATATTTTCTACGTCTGTTAACACTTTCAATGCCACTACGAACTCTTATGTAATCGAACTCATAGTCTGTGGCATTGAACGTGTTAACATATATTTATACTGCCTTTGTTTAGTATTTGTCAAATATATATGTCACGTCGTCAAGGTCAGTTTTAACCTTTCGCGTGCTATCTATAATGAATGTGATTATTTCTTGTCGGCGGCTGGCGGCGGCACTCCTGTCACCGCGGCGGTTGAACCGTTGTTATTACCAGCTCCGCTGTAATTCTATGAAAACAAAAAACCGTTAAATCAACAAAAAAAACCGCTCACAGATATGCGAGTTTTCCCCTTTCCACTAATAGTGAATTTCTGAGATCAACATTCCCGTTTAAAACATATTGTTATCGCTTGTCAAAGACGACATACCGTGGGTTTCTGACGCCGAAATCTTTATATAAAATATATAGTCATCCCTGCCTTTCATCACCGATCACCCACGAATAGACGATATATTTTATACAGAATCTTTGGTCTCAAAAACCGACGGTAAGCTACCAGCAATTCCAACAGTCATGTCTATAAAATGGCGTTTATATTGACAAAAACATTCCACATGAAACATCTTTTTATAGAAAAAACACAATAAGTTCTTCTATGAATGTATCTTCAGTGGAAACGCACGTTAACATAGCTTACTGACCTGGTAATACTGGGCCCAGGCCTGGGCGTCCATGTTGCCAGTCTGCTGGGCGCCCTGGGGCTGCTGATACTGTAAACACAAGGGCGTTGTTATATGACGTCACTGTATTGCTCGATGTTAATATCACTGACCTCTATATTTTACCAGACAGGCTTTAGGGACTAGTACTTTGTGTCTATTTGAATTCCGATGTTTGCTTATTATTGAGGTAGTGGACAGAGATTGTCGCGGGATGCATGCTGTAATGAAGGCAATTCTACTGGATTGCTGGATCCAGGTTTTTTGGATTACAATACTTAAAAGCGGTGATGGAAACACCAACTAATTATAGAGATATGAACAAAGCAAAAGCTGTTAGAGATTATGTTCAGCAGTAGGCAGATAAAGGCTGATGATGACATGTCTCGTATATCTATAGAGGTCAGTGGTCAATACTCAACAGATTACGTACCCATCATACAAACGCAGCAATGAAAAATAATAAAACATTAGTTCTATTGCTTAGGGATCGTCCAATAATCACGTGAATATCGAGAAGGGAGATAAAAATCACGGAATATGCTAATGTTTGGATGGATGTTTGTTAGAAGAAATTTCCAGAACAGTTGCACGGATCTTGCTGAAATTTGGTACAAGTATAGACCATAGTCTGGAAGAACACATATGCTATTAGCTGATGTTTTTTTATTACCTCGCGCACGGAGTCACGGAAAAAAGGTAGTATTTCTACATATATCAGTCTCTCACCCCTGGCCAGCCGTGCTGCTGCTGCCACTGCTGCCATTGGTACCACTGCTGCGCCGTGTAGCCGCTCCACTGACCCTGCCCGCCCGCACCCGCGCCTGCACCAGCCTGCTGCCCCTTGCCTGCCCCGCCCGGGCCCGCCTGCCCGCCCGCACCACCAGCGCCGCCCCAGCCCCAGTTGCCCCAGTTACCCCAACCTAAATAAAACATAATACTTATTATAGTAAACATTGGTAGACGCAGGCAACAACATTTGTTGTTTGAATGTGCCGGCTCATCCGGTACAATATAATGACCACACAGAAGGCATGCCTCAAATGAAAAACTCCACGTCAGATGAGTGCCGGAGGTCTCATTTAAATCCTTGTCGCCTTCCCACTCATTTCGGGAAACGGATTTGATGGGAGAGGTGACGCATAAGAAGGGTAAATATTTCTTTCTGTACATCTCCTCCTAGGTCGATTAAAGGTAAGAAACTCATCTGCAGTGCGGATGTCTATTGTTAACAATCGCTTCGCTATTTCGACGAGTGTAAGTAGCTCGTTTGCGACCTTATAATATTAAAAAAAATATGTGGCATCACACGCAGGGTCTTCCATGATTGCATACCGTGTCGAAACCGCTCATGGAGATATTAACATAAAAAGCAGGGTCACATTACCTTGGTTCTGGTTCCAGTTGCCCCAGCCGCCCCAGTTGTTGGCCCACTGGTTCCAGTTTGCCTGGTTCTGAGGGTTCATGCCCTGGTTCTGATTTTGGTTAGCTCCGTCCTAATAATATTATATTTTTAATAATAAAAATAGTAAAGCACATCATATCGATGAATAAAAAAATATTTTATAAATTTTTCCAAAAATGAATACTCAATTTATTTAAATTCCATGTTAACAAAAACAGCGTAAAACAGATAATAACTTAAAATGTATTTTGAAATTAGTAAATAGAGTCTGTTAACACATTCAATGCCATCACCTCGTTTGGCGAATTCCATACAAAGCAATCATAGTGTCATATTAGTACAAGTGTTGCAAATATCTTATTAACAAAATGTTTGAGACATAGTTGTACCTTGCCCTGCGACCTGGCGAGGCCGCCCTGAGCGCCTGCAGGGCCCTGTCCCCCGCGGCCCCGGCCTGCGCCCTGCGGGGGCGCGCCACCACGCTGCCACGATCCCATACCTGCGCCCATGTTACCTGCAACACACATTCCATTTCTAATAACAATAATAACAAATATATCGAATTATGGAAATATTATTTCAAAGTATGTTAAAAACGTCTGTAAAGTCCTGTACTAACTACAAAGGAAACAATACATCAATTAATATTTTTAAGCTTAAGATAACATCGATTTTTTAATTCTTAACGAAAATGAAACACAACATCGGTCGACCACAATGAATGGGATGAGAACGTAATTTTGGTGTAAATCTAGGATTTATTATTAACCTGGTCCAGGTCGCTTGTCTTGCTGCGGGCCCCTGTTGTTGGTGCGGTCCCTGCTGAAGCGCGAGGCGTCTCCGGGCGGAGGTCCGCGGCCACGATCCCCGCGCATGCCGGGTCCGCCGCGACCACCGCGGAAGTTGTCACGATCGTTGCGACCAAACTCATTGTTTCTGTATTGGAAAAAAATTACATTAAAATTGTTGTACATTAATTGCAATAATTTCGCACTAAACTTTCAAGTTATATAAAAACTAGCTGTCGCCCGCGACTCCGTCCACACAGGATTAAAAAAAAACTTAATTAGTAGCCTATCCGTTCTTCCAGACTATGTTCTATATGTACATCAAATTTCAGTGAGATCCGTTCATCCGTTCCGGAGATACCTTCTAACAAATTCCATCCATCTAAACAGTCGCATTTATAATATTAGTAGGATGTATAAAAGAGATATATCAACGCAGCTTAGGGTATATGTCACAATTTACGATTGGGTGCACGATATGATGTTTTATTGTGATTTCTTAAGAAATGATTGTGTTAACAGAGTGTGTCAGTATTGACCTGTTGTGTTGCGGGCCGCCCCACTGTCGGTCGAAGCGTCCAGGCGGCGCGTGTCCGCCGCGGTCGCGTCCATTGCCGGGTCCCCAGCGACTCTGTCCCCCGCCGCGCGCCGCCGGGCCCCAGCGGCCCTGACCGCCGCCCCGCCCGCCGCCGCCGCCACCGCCACCGCCGCCTCCCCATCTGTCCTCTGTACATACAACAGTAATAAAGTTACTTGCTGCCATTGAATCTTTCCAAAGTTAGATAACTTAACATTTAAGGCGAGTCAAAAAAATTAAGAAACAACTAAAACAAATCATGCAATCCCATGGTTGAGTCTTGTGCTGATAGGAATTTTAAATATTGCATTCACCATAAGATTCCATGGCCGTGACACTTGTATGGACACATATTGCTGTCTCTGTTATTTGCAAAAAGAATGAGAGAAATGGCATCACATTTGTACAGTAAATGGCGTACCTCTATCCCGTGGGAAGTCCCTGGGACGACGGTCGTCCCTGCTGTGCCTGCGCTCGTCGCGCGCGCGCTTGTGAGGCGGGTGTCCGTCGCGACTTGCGCTGCGCTCGCGCTTCTCCCGCTCTCTTACCACGCCGGCCGCGCGTGCTTCCTTGTGGAACCCCTCCAGTATCTTCCTCGCCTCTTCCTCCTCCAGTTCCGGGTAAATCACCTCGTCCAGCCAGGCCCCCTTCTCCGGCAGCGTGAAGTTTGCTACAAACACATACATTTTACTTGGTGATGGCCGATCGAGACAGATTTGCTCGATTGCACGGCAAGACGAATCGATTCATAGATATTCGTAATTATAAATGGAATTATAAGTACGAATAGAGTGAAGGGACTCGTATGTCGATGCATCGCAGCGGCGGGGGAGGTCGGGCGAGAGTGCGAGAGAGACAGAGAGGGGGTCGTATCGTCCCGTATCGGCTGACTACGAACCTTTCATGTCCACGATAGCCCCGTCGGGCACTTCCTTGCCGTCGGCCTCTTCTCTTCGCTTGTGGCGCTCCTTGTACGTCTCCTCGTCAGTGACAATGACAACGGCGACGCGCCGGTAACCGTCGAATTCCCTCAACTTGCGCCTCTGGGCCGACGGGTATACGTTCGTCTGTTTTTACGTTACGGCGACATACATACGGTGGTCGCCGGCGTCGTTAATGTGGAGCAAAATGGATCATATTTTAGGAACGACCTGGTGCGTATGGCAGACCGACACCTAAAACAAGCTCAATAGAGATCCCAGACGCATTTAGTTTCGCACTTTGCAATTCGTTTGGCTAAGGTTTTATCGCTTACAAACTAGTCTACTCACCTGTCTGCATCTAGAAAGGACACTTTAATTATATATCAGTTAAACACTTGGCCAAACTCGGTATGTTCCGATCTCGATTGTTCCTGATTAAGTGTCCGCCAGAGTGTAGGTAGTATATCACGTTGTGAGTCTCACCTGATCCAGGATATAGTTTCTCTTGCGGCCGCGAGCCATTTCCAGCAACTTGAGCACGCACTTGGCACACTTGGTCACCATAGCGTCCCAGCGGCCCTCGTAGCTGCTCCGGAATGGCTTACAGTCCACCTGAGATCGATACCACAGAGTTACAACACCGAATATTAAACATGGCTTACGCTTAGCATACTTATAACTAACTTATATCTATGATAAAAAAAGTTATATTTCGATACCAGGGACTCTGCGCTGACACAATTTAGGTTTCCTCTTCTGCGGCGGATCCACTGGTATTATATAACACGGTCTAAATGTTGGACCGCTAAAGGTAAAAGCTAAAGCCGCTAAAGGTTTGCGTTTTTATATTAATTTTGCAATAAATGTTGCTGAAATTTGCATCCTGTTGAAAATACAGACCAGTATTAGTTTTAGAGCTATTTTACGCTCTGTTTTTATTTTGCATTCATACTTATTTATGCTGAAAGATAAACAAATTATTCTCTTCTCACAAATGCAATGCAACACAATTGCATTGCATTTGTGTTTGCAGTTTCAATAGCATCTTTATTTATTACATAAACTTTGAAATACTACATAATTAATATTAAAAAAAAAACTGTACTAATATATCAAGAAATATTTACTAATTTATAGACATCAAATAAAGTACTTTTCTAATATTTAAAAACTAAGAAAAACTACGATTAATAAAAACCAAAGCTATATTCATTCAAAATCAACATATAGTAATCTCAAAGAAACATCAAATATGTTTTAAAAAATTTAAAAATTTAATGCTGCAATACAATTTGATTTGCAATACAAGCTGATTGGACTAATTTTTTATATATAAAACAGACTATAAAAATATACTTGTAAAACATGTGTATTATTATGTATATGTATATATTTGTGTAGTGTATAACATATAATACATCATACCCTCATCTTTTCAAACAGCGCACCAGTTGACAGTACGTTGTATCTCCTCTCGGGATATTCAGTGACGTGATTCTTCACCCAATATGTCTTGCCACTACCCGGCATGCCTACCATTAGGATAACCTATGCAAAATAAATATTACATTTTAGAAGTATAAAAAAATATTAAAAAATACTTGGAAACATTTCTTGGTACTTCATACAAGGAAATCTTCTTAATTCGTTCTTCGCTTTCGGTTACCCGACGTTGAAATAAAGATGATAAAGTTGAGTTGATTTTTTTTAATATATTTAACACTAAATAATTTAAGAACAAACATATAAACAATTGATATATTTGTTCCATCTGGGATTTGAACCCAATACCTACTAAATCATTATTTTTTTTTGTTTTAAACACATTTTAATTCGTTATTTTTTTAATTTGCAGCCGATTTTCTTAGTCATGTGTAGTCCACTCCTTCGAATACACGTTGAACATAATCAAGGGATCCCTTCCTACAAAATAGTAATTGCTTTTTCAATAATTGTCTCTTGCTTATAATGTTGACTACCGCTACCGCCATTTCAGTACATTTTCACCACAACCGTCATATATAAATTCCCCCTTCAAACATATCCATTTTCCCACGAAACAAATTCATTTCAACGAGAAATAAATTCATTTCCCCCTCAAGAAACTTCATTTCCACTGCAATTTCACGAAACAAACGCAGTTCCGCCTTCCATATTCCCATATCTTCATTACTAAATATTTATTTGTTGTTTTTTTTATGTAAACATCACCCCCAATAGTAGGTGAAGCCGACATAACATCGGCGTGGTAGCCCCTACCTCCAGAGCGACGGGCGCACGTTAAAGCCATATTTTGTACATCGGGCCGACGCTGCAGTGGCCAGGCGGACTATGTATGAAACAAAAACACAATTTCACCAAGATAAATGTAAATATCAAAGTGAAGTCATGTATTAATTTAGTAAACAATATATTAGTTACTTTTCATATTGCCAAATCAGCCTTTTACTTCCTTTTTATTTTTTCCAGATGAGTCTTCAAACATCACCCTTTTAATGCAGCTAGATTGTTGTTTACCACTGTTGTCAAGTCAACCGTTCCCCCACAATATATCACCATCCATGCGATGATACGTTCATACATTTTTGTTTGGTTTTCATACACCTATTTTTCCTACAAATTTAACGAGACGTTTTTTTTGTATGTATTTGATTTGATTTGAGGTATTTTAGTTTATTTTTACATCACCGAATACACAATCCTATAGCCAAGAAACAAACTTATTTCCCCCTAGAAACAAGTTCATTTCCACACACCAATTTGATTCATTTGGATACAGATTTTTGTTGTACCTACCCGGAATACCTTTTTATAGCCTTATCAGAACTAAAACGAAGCCGTGCCTACTACAATAAAATTCCTTAAGATAAAAATAATTTAGTGACCATGTAAGGCCCTATATATCACGCTGACAATCCTCTTGATTTGTTTGCTTTTTCATTACAAATTATGATGGCGCATTACAAGTATAACACTTTTCAAATATCTTGGAAGCAGTCTGCATCCCAATACATCTACAATTGTTTTCTGTTCTCTCGCAACAAGTTAAGAGCAACCAAGACATCTCAATAAAACCGTAGAAATAATAGTATTGTATAAAAACAAGTATCAAGACATTGTGATCGCAGTACTGACCTCGCACTCAGCGGTAGTGGGGGGTGGTCGTGGTCCGGGCGTGGTCTGCGCATGCGCCAGTAGCACGTAACCTGCCAGCAGACTCGCTTCCTCACCGTCCAGTTCCTCCTCCGCAAAGTATCTGGAATATTTTTAATAACTTTACAGTGTCTTTACACTAAATATATGTATGTGCATTTATAATTTTTATATTCATTCAAGCCCGCGTTCACACGGGCGTTCTTTTACGTCCTGTTAACGTTTTCAAAGTGAACAAATGTATTTCTATGCACCTGTTGATACATCAACGCTTTGAAACGGGAAACTTTCTTATAATGTGAAGGATAATAGCAGATTTTTCTTTAAAAAAAAGGATCTACAAAAAAAATCTAAAATATATCAAACAATACGAAGACGAACAAAATTGAAACAATTTTCTTGTGAAAAATATAAAAATTTTCTTCTGAAAAGTTTTTTTTTTTATATCAATATTAATCAAAAATAATATACCTGATAACATTCTTCATTCGCTGGTCTAATAAAAGTCCTTTCAGGAGATCATCTTCAGTCACCTCTTTTTCAGCCTCTGCAATGAAAAAAGGATCAATCAATCTTACTTGACAAGTTTTAAGTGAAGATGAAAATGAAAGAGAAATCAATTTGTTCTCCATCTTACTAATGTTTTAAATGCGAAATGGATGTATGGATTAATGTTCCTTTGAAGTTATCTCCAAAACGACTGAATCAATTTCGCTGTAATTGGGCATAGGCTACTAATTTTATTTCACATGGACGGAGTCGCGGACGACAACCAGTATATAACTTACCTGCGGAGGGTTCATCTTTGACTTCTTGTTTCTCTTCCTCCTTATCCGATGCCTCCTTCTCCTGCTCCTTTGCTTGCGTCTCTTTTGGCTCCGACTGATCTGTCTCCATCGGCTCATTTTTCAATTCAGAGTCACCATTTTCCTAATAAATATTATTTAATACAATTCACAAAAAATATATAAATCCAATAACAACTCAATCAAGTTGCAGTTAAACTTATATTAATGCACAATCTTACTAATATTATTGATTGATGATTTAGATGGATGGATGGATGTTTCTTTGAATTTGTTTAAAGGTATCTACAGAATGGCTGAACATTGGTACGAAGCAATAGATGGACATAGATTTGATTAAAGATGTCAATAGTGTAGTAGAATGCCTGGTTGAGAAGGGCTGCTCTTAGACAGAGTCTGGACAGAGAATTAACTGCCACTCGTCGCGCTTAAATGAGTACTAAGAGAACTACACTGTACTAAGTAGCTTTATGTATTTGTATAATTGTGTATTCATCTTCGTACCTTGGCCTGTTTAGCAGGCTCCTCAACATCAGCCTTCTCTGGTCTTCCTTCTGCGTCCGGTTCCTGTTGCGTCTCTTTCTCTTTCTCCTCGGGCTCTACTTCCCTCTCTCTTGTCTCCTCGGACTTGTCTCCCCTCTCCCTTTTCTCCTTGGACTCTTCTCCCTTATCTCTTTTCTCCTCGGACTCTTCTCCCCTCTCTCTCCTCTCTTCGGGCTCATCTCCTCTCTCTTTTCTCTCCTCAGACTCTTCTCCCCTCTCTCTCCTCTCCTCCGCTTCTTTTTCTTTTCTCTCGCGCGATGATTTTTCACGTTCCAGCTAGAATTGTACAATTGTAAAATTATATGACTAGCCTAGTTCCCTTTTCCATTCCTTCATCAGTCCATGAAAGGTAGGCACTGTGTTAAAATGTATTAGTTACTATGGACTATTGAATGTTCATTTATACAGTTTTATTAATGCCTACTTTGATTTTATCTATTTTTTACCCATATTAATTACTCTTACTAATATTAAAAACGAAAATGGTCAGATGGATATTTGTTAGAAGGTATCTCCATGAGGGCTGAATGAATCTCGACTAAATTGAGCATAGATGTAGAAAACATAGTTTGAAACACCGCGGACGGCTAGTATGGCGGGCGGTAGCTACATCGGGCGACAGCTAATACACACACCATATTACACAAATAACCTATCTTTATGTTTAAAGGCAATAGACATCTCACCTCTCTCTTCTTCTGTCTCTCCTCTCTTTCTTTACGCTCTCTCTCCTTGCGCTCTTTGTTACGGCGATTGGCCTCTTCTTTCAGACGTTCTATCTCTGCCTGTCGCGCTTTCTTCTCTTCTATCACTTGCTCGATCGGCACTTCAATACGTTGACGCACCACTTTAGTACGGGTCAGTAAGTTGTACCTGAAAATTAATATAATCAACTTATATATCCATACACAAGTGATTTTAACTACTTTTTAAGTGACTATAATATAATGAGTTGAGTCATTTGTGTTCCTAACTGTAAGTAATCTTGCTAATATTATAAATGCGAATGTATGTCTGTTACAAGTTATCTCCAAAACGGCTAAACGGATCTCACTGAAATTTGGCATAGATGTAGAAACATAGTCTGTAACAACACATGATACTGATCTAGTTTTTTTTTTATTCCCCGCGGACGGAGTCAGAGGCGACAGCTAGTAAGTTATAAAATGAAATTCTTACCTTTCATATCCAAAGTTAACTTTATAGCAGATATTCTTAGTCAAGATGTGAGGGTAGATAGGTTTATCTCCGAGCAGGGCCTTGTCAAACTCATACGCATTGCCGAGTTCCTCTCCATTCAACGTATAAGATATAGTACAAGGATTCGATTCCATATCCTGTTTATAAAAAATAATATTAACAACACAGAATAAAAATAAAACTTAAATTTATCTATGAACAACACATTATTTTTTTAATAAAAAGATGTAATCTTAACAAAATTAATATTAGTCGGTTTTTCGACATTTTCCGCGTATTTAAGAAAATTAAATCTTAATATTTACCATGTTTATGGTGTTTAATGTTCAAAATTTAGTTAATACATATATTTTCGGCCTTTTATCATAACTAAATGATAAAACTACTAGACTAGGTTTTACAGGTAAACTTTAGAATTTACCGGGATTCGGACCTTAAAGAAACATAAATAAGTTAATTTAACTAACAAGATAAGCTCCAATGACGTCCTTCTCAGCGTAAAGTTTGCCGTAATCCTTAAACTCTCCGTTGTTGACAGCACGGCCTGTGCTCTCATAGCCCCAGCTCAGTTCGCCATCGCCTAAAGAATAATTATAAATGCAAATGTTTGGATGGATGGATGTTTGTTACAACGCATCTACAGAACGGCTGTTTGGATCTCTATGAAATTTGGTATGTAAAACATAACCTGAAAGTTGTTTCATAGTAGCCTGTGTGTTCACACAGGCTCCTAATAAGTTCTTTTTAGTTACGGACAGACGACGTCGTGGACGACATCTAGTTACAAACAAATGGGTGAATTTTGTAACAAATTATTACTTAAGTAGCAATTTGAAAATAATGACTTGGGAAATGTTCTGAATAAGATGAAAGGAACATCAGAATTACATACAAAAGAAATTGGTTTAAATGTAATTTTGCTTGGGAGCCCATATATTATAGAATATATGGGAGTAATACAAAATATTAATCTACCTGTAGTTATATCCTTGCCATAAACATTTATATAACAAGGTTGCTTCTACAGGAGAAAACAAAAACCTTTGTTATTTAACAACCTCACTGTATCAAAATACTGTGCATATTTTTATGCCTCTAATTAAAAAAAAAGCTTACGAAAATAAGCATTTTCTTAAATATTTGGGCAATTACTCATAAGTATTAACGCAAAATACTAATCATTTTATTAAGGGTTAGATCATAGTGTCTATATTTCTGAAGTTTGGCATACATATAGAACATAGTTTGGAAAAACACAAAGTTAATTAAGTTTTTTTTTAATTCCGCGCGGACATAGTCGTGGGCGACAGCCAGTTGACCAATAACAAGGGCTTTTGTAGTACAATTTTACGAATAAAATTTGCCTATACATATTTTATATCTTAAATATTATATAATCAGTAACAGCAACATATTGCGCTATATATTTTCCTGGTTATTTCAAAATAATTATATCGTATTCTTACCTAAATGTAAACTAGAGTCTTCAGTAGACCATCCCACTCTCAGTCCATTGCTTATCACTTCTTTGTCAGTCGCCTCGGTCGTTGTTACTACTGTACCAACGCGTACCTGATTAAAAAAACATCAATTAACTAACATGAAAGCATATCATATCTTTAAGTGTAATATTTCTATGATTTATTGTAACGTACACGGCTTATTTTTAATATTTCAATATTATGTACACTTAACATAATTTTAATCACCAAGAAGGGAATGCCCGGGTAGAGATCATTTCCACTTCCAATACGTCCTTTCTCTGGTAATCGAATTCCCGTCCTATCTTTTGTTTATAAAAGTGTGGGGAAATAAAGAACATTTAATATACTACACTAGCTTAAGTGTGTTAAGAAAGAGTGTCATAAAAATTCTCCGTTAAAAATTAAACATTTGATACAAGACAATTTTAGACAGAAAAATTGTAATTTTGCTTGCGATTCCACATATCACAGGATATACGGAAGTAAATACAAAATATTCATCTACCTGCTTAGCAATATTGTCATTCCTGATGTATGACAACATATATTTGCTATTTACAGGAAACATTTTAAAAAGAATAGATATTTGAAAAACATAATATTTTCAAATATCTTGGCGGCTTTTTACTTCGCGTGAGAAAAATACAACTTTAGTTGCTACCCTACGCTACGCACAAATGACCTTGGGCCGCCAAAATATTTGAAAAGAAGAATTATACAAAAAGTAAAAAAAAATGCTTTTTTTGCTAGCAAACGATACTGTTGATACTGACCTCAAAGCACACCCGTCCGGTGGTAACACCGTGTGTGGCGCGGCTTCCGGCCCACGCGTGAGCGAGCGCGCCTTCGGTCATTGGCACCACTGACTTCAGGTCCGGCAACTCCAGGAATTGGTTCAAGTCACTATCATCTGAAAAATATAACGATACAATATATGTTACAATGTATGAATGTGGAGGGAGTATAACTGGGAAGAGATGGATGGATTGCATGAAAGATGGCATGATCAAGAAGAGAGACTGAGATGGTAGAAGATAGATCGATATGGTGGAAGAAAACTGGTGCGCTGACCCTAGTGCCCTGATTCTATTGGGATAATAGTAGGTAGATGTTGATTACTTACACCAAGAGAGAGTGACTTTATCATCATTGGCTCCAGGGTCGGGAGCTTTAATCGCCGGCTCAACCTTCTTCAAAAGTTTCTCTTCCTCCTATAAACAAATTTTACATTAATACTTACAATTCTACAATTAAATTATCCTTTAGAATCGTTTAAGTACAGGATTTTTATTTAATTAAACTTCTACTACTACTAATTAAGATGTGAAATGCCACAAACAGTCGATAAGACACTAAGGTACCTAGGGTCAACAGCTCTGAGTGTAAAAGTAAGACTGTTTTTGAATATTACCTCGATTGGTGGTGTGAGGACTTCATTGGTGACGGCCACAGTCTTGTAGAAGTTGCTCCAGCGCGCTTTCTTCTCCTGTTTACGCTTCAAACGTTGTAGCTTTATGGGATCCTAATAATTGGAATCTTAATAAAATAATTCTTAAGAATTATTAGTATAGTTATTTAGTTTAGTCTTATAAGACCCAAAAATAAATATTCATTTGATTATTACACTATTTCAGCATTTAAAAATATTGTTTGTTTATCAAATAAATTACATATTACTTTAAAGAAAATCTCATAATGTTATAATCACCAAATTTCTAAATCAATCTTATTATACCAAATATTCGACTTAAAATGGGTTTCTTAGTCCTAAATGTCCGTTTAAAACATATTGCTATCTCTGTTTTGTCAAAGATGAAAGACAGAGATGACATTATGTTTTAATAGAGATTTTGGTATCAGAAACCCATGGTTAGTTATATTTGAACCTGGATAAGTAGGAACTTGATAAGAGATAAACCTCCATAAGCGAGAATCTCAGGTTTCACAGAAAGTCTATAAGCGAGAAAAACATTGCAGGAAATTTTATTCTCCCTTCTCCATGTTCCACTATTTTGGTATCAATGCAAACTATTTCTGGTCAAAAAGTACCTTGCTCATCTCTTCAAATTTCCTAGCATCTTCTTCCGCCTGTCTTTTCTCTCTCTCTAATCTCTCCTGTTCTTTTATTACGAGTCTTTCGTTCAGTAACGCCCACTCTTCTTCTTCAGTCAGCTCACGATCCCTGTCTCTATCTCTATCCTGAAATTTACAACAGAATTAAGAAACAGAAAAATATTTTACTAAATCTATGGTAGGTTAATGCAAGTCATAACAATATGCTTGTCTCACGTCAATTGCTTCTGTTAGTAGTAATTAATAATAAATAATACTAATAGTGCTACTGCACCGCCTGAAACCAATTCTATTAGGATAGAAATGTTGAATAATCAAATAGGCACAAAACATCACGGCTTATAGCCTGTCCATGTATCAGTGCGCATATTGCATACAATTTAATCTATATTAATATTATAAAGTGGAAATATTTACATGAAACAATCTCAAAAACTACTGGATTCATTTTAAAACTGATTTTGCCGTTAGAAAGCTATATTATCACTGTGTAATATAAACCAAATTTATTAATAGTTTTTTTAATGCTGCGCAGTTGAATTTGCACACAAAAGAATATTTAGCTAAACTATTTAATCATTTAATCTAACTAATATTATAAATTCGAATGTTTCAATGGATGGATCGAAATTTGAAGATATCTCCAGAACTGCTTCATAAATCTCACTGAAATTTGGAATACATACAGAACATAGCCTGAAAAATACATAGGATATTAATTTTTTTTTAATTCCGCGCGGAAGGAGTCGCGGGCGAGCGCAAGTTATAAATAAGGCAGTAACTTTGAAAGAAAGCACTTCGGGTCTCACTGAGTCAGTTAATGATATATAATACATACCTCTTCAGAGTCCTTCCTATCTCTACTTTCACTGTCTTCATCTCCATCATGTTCCATCTTCTGCTGTTCTTCTTTTTTCTCTTTCACTTCACATTTCTCCTCCTGACTCCCTTCATCTACATCATTGGTGTCATCATTCGGACTTTCAGGTTCATATAGATCAGATGCACTAGCTGTAACAAATATTAAAAACATTAAATAACTGCACTATTTGAAAAATATGATAGAGAAAATCTAACATATACATTATTATAAATGCAAATGTTTGGATGGATAGTTGTATGTTTGTTACAAGATGTGTCCAGATCTTAGTGAAATATTCATCCAAACATTAACATTTAATATAATAAGTAAGATGGCATTATCATAACTAAAACGGTATAATAGACATGGTAATAGGATGGTGTACACAACGGCTTTATCATATGACGAAAAAAATATGACATGTAATTGCATATATCATGTATAAAAAGTCCTTACCTTTTTCCTCTGGTTGGCTATCTTCATCCATAGCTACACTCTCACTTCTGTAATAAAGAAAATAATAAAATCCAATTATATTTATATACATTTTTTAAAACAAAAATGCATATGAAGTTAAATTACATGGTTATTTATTTAGAATGTTTTAAACAAATATTTCTTTAAAGTGTTATCGACTTTATGTCTATATTTCATATATTAATTTAGCAGAGCTTGTCACAATGATTTTGGTATAAAACACATGCCTGCCTATATTAGAACAATAACAATTTCTTTCATTGTATTAAAAAAAAAAAGATAACAACAATATCCTTATATGTTACATTATATTATACATCTACTAACTCTTTCTCATGTAGAACCTCTTTACTATCCTCTACATCAGATTTCTTTGGTGATTCCACTTTCGGGGGAGGCTCATTTTTCTTTGGTGATTCCTCCTGGACATCCTCTGGCTCCGTTACTTTAGGTTCTTCTGAATCTATTTTAACTTCTTCAATTGGCTCCGGTGCATCTTCTTTTATTGGCTGCTAAAATAAATCAATTGGTAATATACATTCAATTGTATGACAAAAGGAAACACCTAATATAACCACATTACCAGTTTTTTAAACATTTAATTTTCAACCAACCTTTGCTGGTGTTGCTAATCTTGATGTAGATGATCTCCGAGTAACTCTAGCAGCTGGAGTAACTTTCTTTGGTGTTGCCGGGTCATCTATATCCTCTGTGGTGGTATCCATTATAGATGTATCCGGAAACTCTATACAAACAAGTTTATTTTACACATTTCATTTCACTGCTGAATGGAGGTCTCCCCCATCGATTGCCACAATGCCACTTGTGGTAAATTCTTTTACATGATTTTGATCCAATCATAAATTAAAAAAAGTAAAATGGGGTAACCATTTAACTTTTTTTTTATATCATAAGGTGGCAAACAAGCGAGCGGCCGTCTGAAATTGCTGAAATAGCTAAGTCACCGTTGCCCATAGACATATGCAATTGCATATGCGTTGCCTACCTTTAATTGACATAGAAGATACACAGAAAGAAAAAATATTTTCCCGCTCCATGCATCCTCTGATCCAGAAAGTCCACTTCCACTTGACATCCTTTCCTTATAAGAAAAAGGGTGGGAAAGGATAGAGGACTAGATTAAAAGGCCTCCAGAGCAGATACTCATCAGACGAAACGCGGGATTGCTTCCATTTCACGTCTGTCTTCTGAGTGGTCGTGGTATTTCACTGGGCGAGCCGGCCAATTCGTGCGAAGATGTTAAAGCGGGATCTACCACTGTTACATGTTTAGTATGTTTGAATTCTATGAAATTCGCAATGTTTTTCGACTAAGCTATTCTTAAGGTTTCTGCTACCAATATATTAATGATACATTGTCTTTTTCAATCTATTTGAAAAAAATGAGAGCATTATGTTTTACCTATCAATGATAAGAAAATTAAAACCCACGATTAATTGCTACCTTCAGGTAAGTGTTGACTTGAGTCAACCATTTCTGAAACATAATCGATACATGACGAATAGCAATTTATCGATTAACTTATTTTTGGTTGTCTCCAATATGATAATACATTAGCATCATTTAAAAACGTCACAGGTTGAGAAGGTAACAATAAATATGCGCTACTAATCATTTCGCAAATATTCTTTAGCAAAAATAAAACATGGCGGGATTTAGATGCACGTGCTAATAATGCGCAGAATTGGAAAATTTGTCAAAATATGGGATATATAACTTTGTAGAACGTAAATAATATTGGGTTATACAAGTTACCTTTTCCAGTTTTAGTTTCAAGAGCTTTCTTCAATCGTTCTACCAATGCCGCTTTATTACCCTTGGTGTCCAAACCAAGAGCTCCGAGCTCGGACCTAAGATCCACAACTTTCATTTTAGATGGATCCATTTTTAAACTGAATTATTGTCCACAACTCACAATCAAATTGTTGTATTGCACTACGTATCACTTTTTAACGGCCATTACATTACCACAAAAATATTACACATAAGCGCCAGAACAAAATAATATGGCGTCCGATGACGCGAGGTTAAGTGGAAAATTGCGTTCCGTTCTACCACTTTGCAAGCGATGCGAATCGATTTTTCGTTTAATACAGTTTAATAATCTTTAAATTAAACATGAAAATATTAAACTTGACCAAAAAAGGTCTACATGTTTAATTATATTTATTTCATTTTCAGTTCCTAAGAATAACGAGTGTAATGTGCGATATGATTGAATACAAAAGTTATTAACAAAAACAATATTGCTTTAATGAAACAGTTAAAATAACACGTTATCCAATCAACGGCAAGTAAAAAGGGCGGCAAATATTTTGTTGCCAAGGTTTGAAATGGATTTAAAATATAGGATTGAATTTTATTTATTACAATGATAGCTTGTTTATATTTTTATCCCCAAGACTATAAATTTTGTCGTTAACAAGTGAAAAATATGTTAGTTTGCGGGTTACTAAGCAACAAACAAAAACAATTTATTATGACAATTAAATTCAAGAAAAGTTTTTACACGGCTATTTTTAATTTTTTTATACTGTATACATAATGGCGCGAAAAGAAGAACCTAAAAGTAAGATTCAAATATTCGAACTCGAGTTACTTTAACCAAATATAATTTTTTTCTGTTTTTAGTACAACCCAACAATGAATTGGAACAGAAAATTATAGAAGCGTTTGAAGTATTTGATCATTCTGGAAAACAAGTTGTGGACGTTAGAGAAATTGGGACAATACTGCGCTCCTTAGGTAAACGTACATTTTTACCTACACTTTGAAGATATTATCTAACGTTGTAAAGGTATGAGCTGTAATAAGTATACACAATCAATATATATGGTAAAAAATATAGTCATATATTTAAGGTTGCTGTCCAACGGAGGCCGAAGTGCAAGAAGTTATTTTAGCGACTGAAAACAAAGAAGCGACCGGCAACGTACCGTTGATAAACTTTTTGCCTTACATGTGCAAAGCAATGATAGAACATAGGTGAGGATATTTCTTAATTAGTAGTGTTCACTGTATTATTTAACAACTCTTTTAAAACGTAGAACTTCTAATGTTACGCACAATTACATGTTAAGAAACACTTGACTTGAAATAAATCAAATTGATAATTGAATTGAATATCCGAAAAATTGGAATAGCTTTATATATTTATACAATTCTTTCAAAATACTTTTTACTAATTTAAATTATTTATCAACAAATTATATGACTTACCTATTATGGTTTATTTTGAAATCAGAATTCCTTCGAATATACGTTAATTAAATTCGTACACGTTCTCGCCGTAACTAAAATAGTCTTACGTGTTGATATCGCGATATACAACCGATAAACGAAATAGAAAAGCGTCAAATAATAAGTACCTACTATCGTAATTTTGTATGGTAGTAAAATTGGCTGTCACAAAGAGTATACTCGTTATTTCGCGCCATTCCATAGATTACATAATATAAGTGTTGAAAATGACAAAGAGTAATCGTTTTTATTTTCATACAAATTGACACAAATCATTGATATTAAATTAAGCAGTATTAAAGGAGATGTACATACATCAGTACATAGTATGTTATTTTATAATTATTTTTCCCTACGTCCTCAACAGGAATTTCTGTACATTTTTAGATTTTATCCTGCAAGTGCTGAGATATTACTTGCCGCATTTCGATACTTCGATAAAGACGGTCGTGGTTATCTTACTAAAGAAAGATTTACTCAGTTGATGCTAGAGGAAGGAGAACCATTCTCACAGGTATCTATGACGCTATACAAGTCTGAACTAATAATAATGATCCTTTGTGCCTTGCCATGTGATATGATGCTATTAGTACATTTCAGGAGGAATTCGATGAAATGATGCAAACAGCATTGGATCCCGTGACCAGCAACATCACTTATGAATATTACATCAACCAACTTATGGTATGTACGAATAACTTAACTTTTACGAATAACTTTTTTACGGTTCTGTACCTCGAAAGGAAAAAAACGGAACCCTTATCGGATCACGTTGTTATCTGTATATCTGTCAAGACCCTTTTTTTTCAAGAATTTTGCTTAAAATCGCGGATATTTGCTACTAATAGAAAAATATTTAGATCTTTTCTTTTTGTGTTGAGTGTTTCTATAAAAAAACCAAGTTTTACATTAAAATAATATAATTTCATAGTCATAATAAAGAAAAAATCTTACATTTGTAATGAATGTGCTCCGTAATGATAGATATGCAAATTAAAACATTGAGCAGCAATGGATTTTGTTAAAAAATTTAAAAACTAATTTCATTATTAAGATAACAATAAGTTTAATCATTTTGTTGCTCCAGTTTGCTTGATCTCCTGGTGCGAATTGTTCTTGGTGTGGCAACACTTTGCCTTTTTTTCATTGGCGTACTTTTACCAGTGTCATTTTTAATGTTGGCAACATTTGTTTTTGGTTCAATGTCACTTTCATCAACTTCTTGGATTGTATCTAAGTTATTACTCTCATCATCCTCCTTAGTTAGAGAATCTGTATTCTCTACAACTGAGTTAACACCATTTGCTTCTTTATCACTGGGCGTATTATCATCTTTTGCAGCGTCAATTTGTTCAGCATTTTTTTCAGCATTGGATGATTCAGTATTTTCAGTTGAATCCGTCTGTTCTTGTTTAATTGTAGAAAGAAGGTCTGTTATCTGATTTTCAAGATCTGGGCTGAGCATAGCTTCCGATTTCTCGGATTCTGTTTTATCCTTACAGGGAGTTGTTGTAGTGCTCAGTACTTGCTTATCATTTGTTTTGATTATGAGTTTGCAATTGCCTGAAAAATATAGATATTGTAATTTAATAAAAAATTTCTGAATAAAATTATTTAGCAAGAACCATTTGGGTCACTGGACAAGTCCAATATCTTACTAATATTATAAATGCGAATGTTAAGATGGATGGGTGTTTGTATGGTATCTCCAGAACACGGCAATAGAGCACAATGAAATTTGGTATACATATAGTCTAACATAATCTGGAAGATGACTTAGGCTACTTATTGTTTTTTTAATTCCGCGCGGACAGAGTAGCGAGCGACAGCTAATGTAATGATAAATATTTAAAACAAAATAGACAAAAAAACAGGACTAAGATTTTAGGTTTCTTACTGAAATGGGGACCTTGTTAACCGCGTTCTTTAGTATAACAAGCAAAAATTAATGTCATGTTACAATATTTTTTAATATTAATATACATACCAACAACAGTGTCACTTGCGGCGACCGCTTTTTCATAATCTTGTTCATTATCAAATCCAACAACTAGTAGATTTTGAATCACCTTATGTTTTTTAATTGTCGCTGCATTTAGTGATGAGAAAAATTTGTATGCATCAGCCCTATTCGGCAGAGATGGTTGACCAAGTACCTGTAATTATTACAATTTTAATATATAAATAGATAGAAAAAACTAGCAATCTTACTTCATACTATATTATAAAGGCGAATGTTTAGATGGATGGATGTATGTTTGAAGATATCTTCGGAAAGGCTCAACGGATTTAAATGAAATTCGGCACACATGTAGAACATACTCTGGAAGAACACATAGGCTACTTATTAAGTTTTTTTCGCGGACGACAGCTAGTTCCACATTAAAAGTTTCAAAATACAGCCATATTCAATTAATTTATAGTCACTACTAATTATTATACTACTTGATATAAACTTCTTTCTGCAAATGATTTGATGAACAATATTTTGTACACACATTTCTAATTGGTTTAGGGGAGGTTTAAAGCTTGATTAGCTAAAATATTTAAGTATGTTGCTTTAAAGATGGAATTAAATTCTAGATATAAATGTAGAACTTACCTTAACAAAGTATTGTTGAGTTTTAGGTGTTGACAATTGTGCAGGCTCTACTTTATCCATGGATTCCGTAGATTTTGGCTCCTCAATTGTTTTATCAAGATTATCTCCAGATTCTATTTCTTTATCTGTTTCATTTTGTGTATTATCTTCACTTGTTTCCATAGGAACATCATTTCCTTCTTTTTCATTTTCAGCCACGCAAACATTTGCATTTTCTTCAGTGTTTGTTGAATTTTCATTATTTTCAGTATTTGCTGAATTTTCATTATTTTCAGTATTTGCTGAATTTTCTTTATTTTTTTCATTATTTTCTGTGTTTGCTGAGTTTTCTTTATTTTTTGCATTATTTTCAGCATTTAAAGAAATTTCTCTATTTTTCCTTTCACGTCTTGTATATCGCGTTCCTGTCATATTTTTTTCTATGAAGGTCATGATTTCATTTTCAAAATCCAACATTTTTATGATTTTCTGCAAGGTTAAGGTAAAAAGTGAGGTTAAATATGTAGTTATGGATCTAAAAAGTACTATTGCTCTCACATATATAACTTAACCAAAGACAAACTGCACTTTATGCTAGAACTCGAAAATTGAAACTTAAGTAGCCTTACTTTATATCACTTAATTTTGTCTAATATTAGCTATCACCCGCGACTCTGTTCGCCAGGTATTTAAAAAAACTTAATTAGTAGCCTATGTTTCCTTCCAGACTAAGTTCTACATCTATGCCAAATTTAACCGAGGTCCATACAGCCATTCATGACGATATCTTCTAACTTCCATCCATCCAAACATTCGCATTTATAACATATCTTGTTCACTAATAAAGTCAACCACAAAAAATTTCTCCAACCACGAAATATTACTCTGTTAACTTAATATTTCTCTAGATTAGAACAAAGTATATGTACACTTTGATCAGAAATATAAAAAATCTCGCCATATTCCTGAATAAATATTGATCTATTTTTATAGGGTACATTCCAAAGAGATGTAATTAAGAAGCTAGGATTTCTATATTTTTGGTTAGGCTATATTTAAATTGTCTATTACCTCAGTGTATTTAGGTAGAATTTGTGGTAAATTTTCTACAATCAATGCAACTGCCAATGAATTCATATAGTCTTGAGTTAATGTAACATCTTTATTTGTTTCCGTCTTTTCTTCACCGGATCCACAGGCTAGTGGCTTTATTAATTTTCTTACTTCAACGTCTTTGCCTTCACACAATTGTTTCATCTACAAAATTAAAAATTTCATTAGAATTTCATAAAAAGATTTAATTTTAGAGCTTAAAAATGATTATTTACCTTGTCAAATAATTCATTCAATTTATCCGACATGATTTTGCACATATTTGATTTCAAGTATTCTTCGAAATCTAAAAAATAGAAACATTTGTTAGTATTATAAATAATATTAGAACATTACAAATTATATAATTCAGATATTTTTAGCCTCAAACATACATCTCAATTTTCTTTCATTTCCTTACCTTTAACCATTACAAGAATATTTTTTAAATTTTACAATTCGTTTATGTATAAATAGAGAGAAATGCTTTCAAAAGCTTAATTATATAGGCAACATTAAAATTTTGATTCCAGTACAATTTTGAGCAATAAAACCGAAAGTGTCATTCATACGAGGACAGACTGAGATAGCAGTGGAGTTCTTTCAATTAGGCAATATCCAATAGACAAATATCACCATACAAAATGTGTGACAAGGTTTCTTCAATATGAAATATCTCTGCTCGAGACAAAACACAAACTAATCCAACAATCAAATAATTTGTCCAATAGACATGACATTGTGAGACACAAAAAATGTACTGGCCGGTTAACTTCATCAGAAGTTTAGGTTATGAATGTAGTCTATACTTCATGAATGAAGGAAGGGAATTACACAACTACTGTGAAGAAACAGACCAACAAAATAAGTTATCTTTTTCATCTTCAATCAATCTTCAATCTTCGATTCATAGTTTAGGGACCAAATATGCCTGTTTACATTTATATTAGTAAACAGAAAGTTTTTTACAGTCTTACACGTAAATATCTGCTATTTATACCCATTTATACAGTTACTTAACATAGGTGTTTAGATCATAGAAATTATTTAATAAATGCCATAAATAATTTCTACCAAACCATGTGTTGGTGCAAAATAATAATACGCAATGCATTTACTGATCAAAGATCTTGATTCAGTTCTATGTATGTTGAAAAGATAAATCTTACTTATATTATAAATGTAAAAGTTTGGACAGATGGATGTTTGGATATACACAGGTTGGTTACCATATGAAACGGCTTAATGGTTCTGGTAAAAATTTGGGACAGAGAGTAAATGACAGGCAAATGTATTTTTTCAGAGGGGCAGTATTGGCAAGAAAGGTCATAGAAAGACAAATAATTTAATATGTGGGAATAAAAAATAATAACATCGGAAAGGTCATGTTCAAATAGGTTTAGGTCTTGTCTTAAATTTGATTCTTCAATCATCTTTGTTCGATCTATTATTAGCTGCACCTCTTTGAAAAGGCACATGGTTTAGTGATATATAATTCAGTGTACATACATTGAATTAAATATAATATACAAAAGCATGAAAAAATTATTAAATTTTTTCTTCATCCTTAAAAAAGATGTAATTAAACAAAACACTTGTACCTGCATTGACATTAGCACTATCCAAAATATGCTTGTCAGTGTGGAGTGGGTATACCTTGCGGTATGCAGCCACTATTTCATCAGACTTTCCCACTGCTCTGTTGAGCATGATATTTGTCAGCCGGTCACGAATAATTTTCCTTATGTAGCGTTGCATATGTTTAGAATTAAATAACTCAGTAGTTTCTGGACCAACACAAAAGTCTTCCTTCATTTTCTTAACAATCAAGCCCAAAGCTAACCCTAACCGACCATGCATTTGCCCAGTAGGCTCTTCGGTAGCGCGTAAAATTGGCAACTGTTTTGGAGGTGTCTTATTCTTCACTTGCACAGGGGCTGGGTTAAATTGTGTCCCAGTGTAAAACTTAGATCTGACCCTTTTAGGGGGCAAATCTAGTATTGGGCGACCTACTGGTTTAGACACGACGCCCATAAGAGGCATCGGTTGAGCTCTGTTTTGAGGAATCGGAGCGACATAAGGTGCTTGTCGCTGAGGTACGGAACTTTGGTTGACATTGAACCTATTATCATCCCATACATTGACTGGGACATGTCTTTTCGGTTGTGGACCACCAAAGCTACGTTCAGAACCACCATCATAAAGACGAGCAAAATTTTGAACGCTGCTTTGGGTTTGATAATATGGTAAACTCCGGGAGGGTAGATCACTTTCAAACGGCCTCTGAAAATTGTAAGAAATATTGACAAATTACAAAACACTAAACAACTGGTATAATTTTGATTGAAATTAAGGTGATTTACAGAAATTGTAAATCTTCAATTTCATTTATTATACCAATTTGTTTCTATTTGTTATTGGCCCCAAAAAGTACAATTAAGTTTCTAACATGTAACACATCTATACAGTGTTAGACTCTGGTTCAGAGAAACCATAAAACCTAATAAAATCTTTTAGCAAATTATTAAGAGAATTTCATGCCATAGACTGTTATAACACCACTAAACACAATTCTGAAAATTATGTTATATTCAAAAGTTAGATAACTCTAGAACATACCTAACACCCAGGAACTTTATACAAAAGAGAGTAACAAATGGAAGAAAGATGGTTAAAAGTTTAATAAGCTCTTTATTACCTTTCTCATGTTGACTCGCTCATTAACAAGCCTCTGCTGTTCATATTGCAGAACTTCTCGTTTTCTCTGTAACATCTCCATTTCAGTGTCTAAATTCTAAAACCATTGAAATAAGAACAATGTTAATTATTATCCTTCAATCATGCATCATTTTGCCTATACATAAGACATATTGTTGTCTTTGACAAAATATGTTAGTTTTAAATGGGAGTTTTGATCCCACTATCCCATAGTAAGGCTGTTTATATAGTGTTTTGTTTGGTACTCTACCGGTTTTTTCCAATGACAAGAGATTATCTTGAGGTGACCGTTACAGAAGTCAAGACTTTACCGGGAACAAAGAGTACAATTGCTAGGCCAATAATCATAGGTTCAGCAATTATTAGACCTGTGCATTTGTAATGTAAATGTTATTTTAAAGGATACAAGTACTAAACTAACGATTTTAAGATTTGAGCCTTTTGTGAATTAATACGTCAGTTGTGCGTAAAATCATAGCGTAACTTAGGATAAAATAAAATAGTTAAATAAGTACATTTAAACAAAATTAACAATACTTACTCGCATATGACTTGATACGAAAGTATTGGAGGCTCCACCGCGACCGCGACCGCGTCCATGCATCATATTGCGGTTCATGTTTCTTTGTTAAAAACCGGACACCGGTGAATTAGAGATATAGACACGAACAATCGTCTACAAAATGCAATAATATATAATTGTCACTTGCATTGATTTAAATATTATTAAGAAAGAACAAAATAGGTCGAAACGAAAATCAACCTTATAAATTGCCTTGGCGTCCCCGTCACCTCAACCAAAACCAAAATGGCGAACAAAGACAAGGACAATTAGATAAGGACAGAAAAAAGTCAAACTCTATGATAAACACGTAGATAAAAAATTTGATGTCTACATTATCAAAATTTTATAAGAAAGCCAAAAAATCGAGTTATCTATGCAAGCAAATTTTTTTCTTGAGTTATATACTTGTTCACGTATGTACATATAGGCTTACCATAAGAAGAAACAACAACTGCTAACCCTGTATATTTAGTCAAGAACTTAAAAATTAGTTGTTTTGTTTAATATTCTATACCATTTTCCCGTTTTCCTTCATTTTATTTACTCATCCTTATTCCTGTCTATCCCAATTCCCAATAAATATTTTATCGTAAATATACCAGGTTGCACCAAAACATGTTTACGAAATAGCTGATATGTTTGAAGAGGAGAGAAAAAAATTGGAGGCAGCAGCACCTAAGAAAAAACGAGCTTCGGAACTGTTGCGAGAAGCACAAAAATGATACACAGAAAAAGTAAAAATAATGCAAAAGTATACTCCTATTGTGTTCATTTATATCATTTTTTTAATTTTTGAGACTTCTCATAATTCATATTGTACGTAATCATTGTATGTATGTAAATCAACTAGATCATAAAAATTAGTATAAAGTAATAGGAAAAAGTTTGTTTTACATCATCTTAATTTTTCTTTTTTTTTCAGGTCGATGATGAAATTGGCAACTCAACTGAACCATCAAAATAAAGAAAAACTTTCTAAATTACTGTCGGATATAAATAAATTTTTACTTAATTTTTAATTCCTACCCTCTACTGTTTTAGAGTTTAGTTTGTCCACAAAAAGAAACAAGCATAACTCACGCCTAACCCAGAGGGGCAGGCAGAGTCCACTTCTATTTGGCGTGATGAATCACGGCAATTCACTTGACGCCCTTCGTCCACAATATATTTTTGAAATGAAAAGAGGGCAAACAAGCACTAGGACACTTAATAAATAAATAAATCTACCAAGATGTATTTAAGCATGAATTGATATTACACTGTTCACGTTAATCACCTTTAATGTATAAACATAGAATAAAACAAATCTTACAATATTTTAAGAACAAATTACTCTACATCAGAACCACTGCATTCGTCTAAAACGATTCCCTCAGAAATCAAAGCAAGCACATCTTGGTCTTCAATTGCTTCGTTCTCATTAATTGTTTCTTTTGATTCTTTTACGTCATCCTTCATTTTGACGTTTTCATTTCCTTCCTTTAAATGCGTTGGTTCTGTTATAGCTTTGATTTCTTTTTGTTGATCGATATTTGATTGTGTAACTTGCGATTCAGGAATTTTTGTTTGTAAGTTAACAATTTGTTCATTTGCTATGTCATCTTTTTCATTTTCTTCCATGTCTTGTGGTGATTCAGTTTTGACTTTGATATCTTTTAATTTGTTGATATTTGTATCTTGTAATTCGGAATTTGCTATTTGTGACGTATTCAATTCAACCTTTTCCATATCTTCTGTTGGTTCAATCTTAATCTCTACTTGCGCTATTGAATTTGATGTTTCTAACTTTGTTTTATCAACTTTTACACTGTTATTTTTATCTTCTTCTTTTTCTATTTTAATTATAATCCTGTCAATTTTGGTTCCAATGTTTGTGGCGGATTTTCTTTCACTATTAGTTTCAGTTCTAACAGACATATTGGTGGAAGTTTCATTGCTTTTAACATCTTTTATTATCTCGCTATCTTTATTTTTGACAGATAATTTGTTTGGAGATGCTTCATTTGTTACTTTTATGTCACTTTCTTTGTCATTTTCACAATTTGTTGTATTTATATCGTGTTGACTGAAAATTGTTCTCAAATTCTGCGGGCACGTTTTATAATTATAGCACGCTTTGACATTTACTCTTACATTACCTGTGGAAACATAACATGTTAATAATCAATCTATTTCTGTTTTAAAGACTGAAAATGTTAAGTTTAAAGTTGATGTTAAAATAGTATATCGCTACCTAATGTCCCCAATAATTTATTAGTTAGTAGCTATCGCCCGCGATCCCGTCGCAGTATTAAAAAGCAAAAATAAGTAAGTTGTGTTGGAGATACCATCTCAAAAACATCCATGCATCCAAACATTCGAGTTTATAATTCTAGTAAGATTTAAATAGAGAAAATCTGGTCTCTTCTGTTCCCTTATTTTTTTACATTTGTATTTGAAGATAATGCCACATATCACTTACCACAATAAATAACTCTATCTTTACAAACACGATCATAGTCTTCATAATTGCTGAATTGTGCTGCGAAGATTGGGGATTCATCGCTAATACGTTTGAATGTTTTCAAATTGTATTTCTTAATAAAGTCCATCAGAGCACCTCTTTCGGGGCGCATTTTAAAACTTAACTGCAAAATATTTCCATTTTAATGTTTGAAGATAAAACTACGAATTGCCTTTCAATAATTTCACAAGTAAAATAAGAAATGCATTTTATACCTTTGCATATAAACTGTTGTGGATATTCAACAACCTCTTGGTAATGTTTAGTCCTATTACCTGAAAAGGAAGTTTTTTTATTTAAAATTTGAGAACGCGAGGTCTCTTTGCTACTAATTTATAATTTTAATGAATTTTAGAACTCTATTCTAGTAATCCATGACTTGACTATTCGTCTAATTTATCTTCTTGTTGTATTAACAATCTTTGTTTCTCCGTATTCCCTTCTATCGTGTTTATACTCACGTTTCTCAAATCATCGCCAGCCTCATTACGAAACTTCTCAACGACATGCTCTTCTGTCTTGCTTGCACTTTCGTCGGGGAGTTCTTGCCATACCTATGTTCATAGAAAATACAGCTATACCTTTTTGTTTTCAAATGAAAAACCTAAACTAAATTTTTGTGAACAAAGTTCACACAATTTGAAGTTTAATCTTTATTTGAAAGAGCAAGGCATATCTATAAAACATGTGAAATTTACGCATATATTAAAAAAAAGAGATGTTTTAATAAAACTTACTTTAATATGTACGAGAAAACAAGTTATTTAGTAAGCTTGAAGAATAAACCAATGTGTTGTATCTTACCTTAATCATAACATCTTCGAGTTCAGAATCCAATGCGCAAGACAACATGGGACTGAGCCCTTGATGTTCCTCCTGTGCTTTATCTTTAGCATCGTCTTTCCGTTCTTCTCTAACCACCGCTTTTGTTACTATGTACGAAATTGTAAGGATTATTTTTTATATAGTAATCAAAAATAACTAAATTTTATTTATAAAACTTTACCTGGTTTAGTTATTGTAGATGTACTAATTTTCGATATTGCAGGAATATTTTTTGAAACTTCACTCTTGGACAGCTCTGCTGTCTTTTTAACAGACGTTTCTCCTTCGGTAGGAGTCTTCGTTTCTGACTCTTTTTTACTTAGATCTTTATTTAAAACTGGCTTGCCTTCAATGACAGCTCCGCTGGTTGGAGAAACTTTTTTTATAATTTTTGCTGGAGCGTCCTTCTTAACAGGAAGGAATCTTTTCGCCGGTGGTTTGCTTAGAGTTTGTTCATATCTCATTGGTCTTTTAGCTGGTTCCCGCATATACATTGGGTTAGTTCTCTTCATCGCGACAGAATTTCTCATCGGTTCTTCTCGAATAAACTTCGGTTTAGAGAAACCTTTTGCTCCTGTAATAAATGACGGTTAACGTAAGTATACGTGTGAGAAGGACACAAAAGGAGTTTATCTCTTTGAACCTCTCTTTCTTTCGACGCAAAGCCTTGTTATGCATCCTTAACTTTTTTCAGTTTCAGTCAGAAATCGCTTTTCACTGAAAGGCCCTTCGTCTTCAAGGCAACGCTAATCTTCAAAACCCTCGGATTTTAGTCTCTTAGGGACTTGCAAAATACAGTGTCAGATGTTTAATGATTCACTTATTTATGTGCAGAGAGTGCACTACGCGATACAATATTAATTTCAAAGTTTAACGTTTCCTGACGTACGAAGGGCTTAAAACAACAACTTGCAACTTCAAGTAAGGTACGTATGCAATCACAAAGTTCTGAAATACATTAACAAATTTGGCACAAATCGTTCATACACACGCTTGTCACCCTTGTAGGCTGTAAATTAAAAAACCTAGAAGCGTTACACAAAGTTCAGTGAAAACAACAATCATAATACCTACATTTAGATACGATTAAAGTAAACCTTTTCATGCCCGAAGAAAAGCTGTTGATTAACATCTTTCCAACCATCAAATATGACAATCTTTAGCAATCTGCGTATTCCTTAGTTCTATAACAAGAGTTATAAACAACCAGGATCAAAAAATGATGTCAGGAATCTGTGCTACATTCTTATCTGCTAAAAAACCCAAAATACAACATTTACACGCTAACTCGTTTTGATTAGTCCACTTTTTAGTTCTGTACGGGGGCGTTTCAACATGCCACGTAAAAACACTGGATTTGTTTGAATGCTAAAAAGGAAATAATCATGGTACTTTAACAACGAAGTTGAACCACCTACCTCCCAATACATATCCACCCATGAAAAAGACCCTTAATAATGACAGAAACAATACATTCCTTCGCGATTTTAGCTGCAAATAATATCAGGAAGACGTCGCGATCTGTAAAGTTTGTTAAGAATATCGGATTCCTTGCTTGTTCATCGTAGACTCCAAGAGCTAACCTAAATTAAGCAATATTTAGCATTAAATAAACTTACATTTTCTTGTAGAAATACTTACCGAAGATAGCTTATAGGTTGACCAAGCGAAAATCAATCAGGACCTGCACGATTACATGAATGTCACAAATTCGATATTCTTGATTAAAACTAAAATTTGTGGGTATCTGTAAAAAATAGCTAATAAGTACGAGTAGCAGTTTATAATTAAAATGGAAGAAGTATTAAATAAATATACCTTTTATATACAAACTCCATAGTTTCTTAGAATACAGTTATGAACGTCCATTGAACTACCCACATTCTTCTCGACCTAGTATAAAAAAAAACTCAAAGATCCCAGAACAAATTTTAAAGTAATAAGTTTCAGTAATCTGAAGTAAATTATTTCATTTAAAAATTATTTTATTGAAGGTAGTCGTTAATAAATTAGCTGATATACAACTTACCTTTTTTCTTTTACATCATATTCAAAGATGATGTATTTTTACAAAATGACTGGAACAATTCATTATAATGACCGATGCATATGATAAAAGCCTTTTACCCTTCATAGAATAACAAAAATCTTTTGTAAAGACATATGGATTACGAAACGCCCGACGAACATTTCAGTTTGTGTGAGAATGAAAAAAATTTACGTTTGACCCGATATATTAACTGGCAATTTATAAACGAAGACCCTAATTGAATTCGGACTGTGATTACCATATATTGATGGTTGATTATGTTACTTCCATATCATACGAGACGCATGGGACAATTTGAACGCTTATTAACTAATTATAGCTACTCAATTTTAAGAAATTCTTCCTTCCTAAGAAAGAAGTAAACACTTAAAAATATTCTGTATATCCTTATTGAACCTTTGTGATGATAAAAAATACGTTATTGCTTTTAGTAATTTTAAGTTTAATTTACTTAACTTACATACAATTATGCAATGTACATTTATAAACAAAAAATAAGTGTTAACTTCTAACAATAGTTTCACATTTTGTCTTAATCAAGACAAATGACATCATCTTCGTCAGATGATATATCCATATTGATAACGCGCAGAGTATCCGTCGTTTCTTCTTTAAATGTTTTTATCATATCTTTAAGTTTTTTAACTTTATAATGACATTTCATATAAACAGTTTCACTTTTTATATAATCTTTTGAATAATCGAGAATAAAATTTAATTTTATTAGTGACTCCACAGACTCGAGATCGACATCTGCCCGATAGCTCATTTTCGTATTGTTTTTCGTTGCGTAAAGGAGACCATTCTTCCATAGATTAAACTTGAGCCCTTTAACACCACGATTGCACATTTTGAACTTTTCTATTACCTTTTTCGCAGTTAGGGACTGTTCGTACGGCAATAAACAAGTCATCGTAATATGTTTAACGCTTATCTTTTCGGTTTCACAAACCGTAATTGTGTGATTATTGAATTTACGCATGCGTAAACTCTTCACCCAATTCGCTGTTTCCGCATTTTCAGGAATTACGCAAAAGTAACCCGGCTGACAGTATCCGTATTTGAGGAAATCCGTTTTACTATTACCGCCGTCTTTAATATGTTTATATATTTGTAATATCAATTCTTCTTTAATCTTACGAGCAGTGGAGAGGCTAACTGGCGTATTGTCTAGACAAAGCTTAAGAATATCTGGTGCATCGGGGTCTATGGCCGGCATCGGAGCATTCTTTTGGTACAGATTTGATGAACCGATTGCTGATATCTCTTCTAGTCCGGCATCAAACGCATCCTTGTCGATTGCGACCGTTCTCAGGAACACTTGGACTTTCTGAAGTTCGTAGCTTAAAGTCATATTATACTTTTCCAAAGCCAGAGCCGCAGACGGAGGCATATCAACATATAACCTCGTCCCCTTCTCGATGATGATCTCTCTAACTAATTTCCACGTATGGATATTAACATTTTCTAAATGTTTATTCTGCATTATAAGCTTCTTCAATGGGAGTATACTTCTTGATTTCGGAAAACCCGGAAGCCAAATAGCGGCACGCTCGTTTTCAAGATCGCTTGATGTATAAACTATGACATTAAAATAGGCGAATTTCGAAAAATCAAGCTTTAACAACCAATTCTTAGACAATTCATCCCTAGTAAAAACCACGTACCGAGTTTCTTTCTGCACTCCCCTCAAAATCAAATCTGGCGTCCAACCATCGCTACATCGTTCTGAAGCTTCTATTATACTTTTTACAATATATTCTTTTAAAAATTGCCCTTGTTCCTCGTTGATAGCTTCAAAATTATCCTTACACAAATACAAGCAATACCCTTCTTGGGGCGGATCCTCTTGGTTGTTCGGGGTTTGTTCCATAGGTGCCATTACCACAGGGACCATCATAGGAACCATAGACAGAACAGGCGCCATAACAGACGCCTGATCAAACTCTTGCGACGTAACCATACTACTCATATTCCAATCTGAAACTGGGCGAATTAAAATAAAATCAAGTAAAAACCTAGCACGCAACAACTAATCGTATAAAAGAATAACTTACTGTTTGAATCATCGGGTAATTCGATATCTGTAAAAATGGAAATGAAATACATACAGAAAAATATTACGCGACTTAACTATTGATGTAAAAGAAATTACCTTTCATACTGCCTGTAGAAGCACTTCTTGCAATTTCAATAGGACTTGTCGATACGTCTGAAACAGCACATTCCGCGTATTAAAAGTGGTCTCTAGGGCAATGACGTAATATTTAACCATAATTATATTAATATTTTTTATCATCGTCAAATTGTACAGTTAAAAAATATACTTTGAATTTCAATGTCACATTTGTCTGATAAATTATTGATTTACCGTCTACGTTTAAAGGCCATTGGATAGGACTTTATTTCAAGTTTATCACAACCTCAAAAAATATTGACGAATAGACAAATCAACTCAATTTATGAATGAGTCAATAACTTTGGTCATAGCTACTCTTGATTCATGAATTATTTCATCGGTTTGAATAAATGTAAACCTTATAATCAAATTTATATCGCGTTTCAGTGACACTTATACAAACCCCAAAAAACTTCTGATCTTCAATTCCATATAACTGTACGGATAAAACCAACAGGGCATTGGTATGTTGTTAATTAAATATTAGGGAGTTCAAAAGGTAACCGTGGGTACCAAAACACATGTACAAAAACATTTGTCACAAAGTTATTGTCAAGTTTAGTCAATAGAAAGATCTAAAGTAGGAAGGACATTATGGCAAGATTACAGATTTTATTGGAGTGTTTCAAAACACCATTGATTACGGTTTCAATCATGTTCTAATTGTATTGAGTAGATTTATACAAACAATAACTGTCGAGTGTTCAATTACTGAGGACAACTTTGTTATCAGAAAGGAAAGTATCTTCAGAGTGACTGCTGTTAAAGAAACGATTAATACGAATACTTTTCCGTTTTCACGTGCTTCAATACCTTTACATTATCAATTTCAATACTTCCATGCTTTTGATCCAAAAATACATAAACATAGTTCATAAAATCCATTCAGGCTTCTTTATAAAACACAATGGAAGGAGCTTACCTGGTGCAGGCCGCTTCATCAGTCTGATTTCTATCGGAAACTTCGATATGACTTTGTCGAATATCTTCTCCATACCTTTGGTGCCATGTTTTTCTTCAAACTTGATCACTATTTCTATAAAAGACACGTCTTTGTCGCCAAACATTTCAAAAATCATGTCCTCTATCAAAATCTTGAGTTGTTCTTCAATATCGTCTCTAACTTTTCCTTTGACATTTGGAACAAATTTCTTTAATACTTTTCCTGTTAAGTCATCAACAGCTTTATCTCTTTTATATTGAACTGCCGGGGCTAAATCCACAATAACAGTTTCACCCATATGTCTTGGAGTTTTATCAAACTTAGAGTGAGAAGCTTCGTAAAAATCTTGCTTGGAAGGCCCGTCTTTTATACCAAAAACATCGTCTTCTACTCGACGTTCATAATCAGGGTTAAATCTTGTCTTTGAACTTCTGTTTCTTTGATATTCTTCAGTTTTTCTTGTAAGTTCAGCGGCTCTGTTATAGACATCTTCTATTTCTCTATCCAAATTTTCCTGCCCCATATACAATTCCTCTTCTCTGTCATCGAAGTTTTGACGGTAATTGTCTCTTTTATGGCGAAATTCGTCATAATCATCTTTGATCTTTTCTCTCTTCTGGTATAGCTCCCCCCGAGGTTCTTGATATCGAGGACTTTGTTGTTCAAACTCATTCCGATCTGTCATATCATAATCTTCACGAGGTAATTTTGATATCGTTTGAGTTGGTGAATAACGATCAGACGGTCTCGACCGAAGCGGTGATCGATCTCGAAGCTCATCGTCTTGTTTAGGTTGATCACGTGAATCCCACTGAGTTCGTGATGTGCTTCCAAAATATTTTTTTTCTTCTTGATCGTAATTGTGACGTTCTTCTTTGCGGAAGAATGTTGAATTAACTTCTTGTTTCTTTTGGGCTTCGGGCCTATCCCAGACAGATTTCTTGATGTTCTCTTCATCGTGTTGACGACTTGATTTGTACACGTTTTCTTGACGTTCGGGCCAAGACGGTGGAGGTGGTGGCTCAATGATATTGGGACTACGCCTTTTTTCCAATGCCCAGGAGCGACGTGGAGATCTTGGTGAAGGAGAATGTCTTCTGTACCGATCTCTAGTAGGAGAACGGTCTCTTCGATTAGGAGAACGCGACATTCGACCCGGTGATGAGACCTTGTTTTCAGGCTGATTTATTACCGGCCTTGAGTAATCTCCTCCCCTTCGCGAGTCATACTTCTGCACTCCAGGTATATCTCGCCTGTCTTCAACTGGCTTCGCTGGAGGCTGATATGGTTTTTGTCTTTCTTGCCATTCGGGCCGTTGATCGCCTTTGCGTGGACCTGGTGGATATTGTTCAGTTTCCCGGCTGTCGGGAGGGTAGCCACCTGAGTACATAGGTTGTTTTTGGGCCTGTAAATTAAAATTAGACTTGCAAACACAAAAATACATACCTAGAAAATAATACAATATAAATTAACGTAGTACACATTTAACACTTTTGCTGTATTTTATTTCGATTATACTGTCATTAGCACCTTAATTGCATTACCTTTATTTACGGGTAAATTTACTTAACTATATATATTTTATTTTTAGAAACTACACCACTTTTCCTCCTAGATCGATGAGAATGGCTTTGAAAGATCTGTTAACGGGTATTTGTAATTTCTAGTAACTCAATTATGCTGGTTATTAAAATTATTCATCCATGTCTTTTGTTTCTCGTCGGAAGTCACCGTTTTATATTATTCAAAAGATCTTTTGTCCTAATTTTTATAAAATGTTTCACTCAAAAGTTATACACTTTATTATAATACTGTTCATTTCACTTTTTCTAGTCCCAATGTAATCCAAAGAGTATGTGAAGTGTCCGGGAAGTATTCAAGGATGAATTTTCAACAGCGATGTAACCATATATTTTTATATTAGTCTACCAGTAATTTAACTTATCCTGTGTTTATATCTTGTTGCAGGATTTATTTCGGGGTATAATTTATTCCGTAATTTAAATCAATAATTTTTTCAATCCCCTGCTCTATTTCCTATGAGGAGTCAGCACAGTATGCACCACTTTTGAATATTCAACGCCGATTTCACGTTGTGAGTCTTTACTTAAGAAAGAAGAATGCCGACGTATCTACCTATTTGAAATAGCAGGATTTTCGTGTATTCAATTTTATCATGCACAATACGTTTATTTCAATTCTATTACTGGGCATAAAACACAAACCCATGTTGGCCACTTTGTTGTGTACCATTATTTTTTTTATTTTTTTTTTAAATAATGGTTAAAAAAAAAACATTTTTTTTTTCTCTTGTGCCAGTTCTTCAAGCATCAAAAATTTTGCATTTGATTTATTCCACATTTGAGTTTAAAGCTATTCCTCCTTTGTTTTGTTAGAACAGCATGTGTCGAAACAGATTACTACAATTTCTCGTTACGACTACCTCTTTATATCTGGATTTTTAAATCTCTTATAGCCTTCTTTATTACTTTTCTTATCCTACTCAAAAGAACTCCTCTTTATGTTCTAATTTTAATCTGATTGGTTTAGAATAACAAAGTTTACAACTTTTCATTTGCCCACTCATGCATGCATAAGATTCCATTAGAATTATCCATAATAAGCATAATAAGGCCCCACTTGTATTACGAAAATCTTCTAATCACCTTGAGCACACCTTTGAAGGATTTCAGTCCATAATTTGTTTTGTTGAGTATAGTATAACATACATAAATTTCCAAAGGCAATTGTGTTGGTAACATTGATTCGCAAGTTTTCCAATTCACTCTATTAAAAACTGAATCTTCTTATGTTACATTTATTTACAGTTTTAAATATGGATTTTTTCTGGTCTATAAGACACATTCGTAAACCTACGATATTGTTTATATGGATAGCTGTGATGTAGTGTCGTGTCATTTTCATTCTTCATAAGGTCTATCAGTCAGTTATATTATACCCAAAATGAAATACACAATCACGGAATCGTCCCAGATTATTAATATCACATTTATTTCCTCTGCCTCTATTCCATACAATCTTAAACCATTGGTTCCTATTTTTGTATGCTGTTTAACATATTTCTGGAATTTCAATTCATAGTTTCTTCTTTCTGAAATTCCGCGTCTTTATATTATTTTCTACAATGTGTAAAGCCAGGCGTTTTACTTCTGGATTCCATTTACCATGAAAAATATTTGTCGACAATAATTGTCTCTTGATTCCATCCCATATTTTAAATTATGTTCAATTAATCAACCCCCAAATTAACATATATACATTAAAGATAATAAAATAGCCACCCTGACACTAAAACACTATGCTGAAAATTCAATAACAGAAAAAAAAGAAATATAAAAAATAAAATGATGCAGCTAAGACATTGAGAAAAAGAATGTTAATAAGTACACTAACCTGGGTCATAGCAGCGTATGCGGGTCTCACTTCTTTAGGGCCACCTCTTATATTGTCCATTGGATTGCGGGACGGTGAATACCTTGTCAAATAAAACAAAGTTATTATAAAAACTAGCTGTCGTCCGCGACTCCGTCCGCGCGGATCTTAAATAAAATTAATTAGCAGCCTATGTGTTCTTTTAGACTATGTTCTACACCCATGTGTAATTTCATCAAGATCCGTTGCGACGTTCCGGAGATAAATTCTAACAAACATCCATCCATCCATACGTAGATCAAACCAAAAATTCACATTTATAATATTATTAGGATCAGATAGTAAGATTTGCGCCAATAGACTATATTCTATACTCACCTATCAAATGACCTCGGTGGAGGCCCACAATTTGGAGAAATGTTTCGGCCTGGTGACATCTTCCTACCCATTGTCGGCTTGCCTGGTGACATTCTCTGTGGCATATGCCTGTCACCTGATGATGGAAAAACTACGATTTTGTTAGTTGTAAAATAAGTAAATGCTACGTCCACTATTTTAAGCTGGCCATAGTATCATTGGACTAAATGGAGATTAATCAAAAATTAAATTGATTGGCATTTAAGATCCCGTGAATTAGTCTGTAAAATGATTACCTTGAGGCCCTTTATTCATTGGAGTAATCCTATGCCCGGGTGAAACTCTTCTTTCAGGAGATGTTCTGCCTGGAGACATTCTTCGTCCAGTTGGTGAAATCCTACGACTAGATGGTGACATTCCACGGCCTGGGGAAACTCTACGTCCAGGTGGTAAAAATGAACGTTCAGGAGAATTTCTTCTTCCAGATGGTGAAAGTTTACGTCCCATGGGCGATATTCTCCGGCCCGAAGGCGACGTTCTTTGTCCTCGTGGTGAACTTCTTCGACCAATAGGTGAAAATTGCCGTCCCGGTGGCGAAGTTCGACGACCCGATGGCGAAGTTCGACGACCCGATGGCGAAAATCTTCGTCCAGATGGTGACATTCTTCGACCTGATGGCGAAATTGGACGACCAGTAGGTGCTATTTGACGTGGAGGTGGCGAATTTCTTCGTCCAGATGGTGAAACTTGACGACCATGTGGTGAAAATCGACGGCCTGGTGGTGAAATTCTACGTCCCGGTTGAAAATTTTGACGGCCGGATTGCGAATTTTGACGACCAGTTGGCGAAATTTGCGGTGCAGGAGGTGAAAATCGGCGACCAGGGGGTGAAATTCTGCGTCCAAGATGGCCTCCGGGTTGTAAATTTTGACGTCCAGTTGGCGACATTTGGCGTCCTGATGGATGGATTTGACGCTGTGGAGAAAATCGGCGTCCCGTGGGCGAAATCCCATCCTTAAATTGAGAACTTCTTGGAGGCGGCGAGATTCTTCGGCCAGATGGCAAAATTCTGTGGCCGTTTGGCGAAATTCTATGTCCAGGTGGTGACACCCTGCGACCATGGTTGGAATCCTTGTGATCTCGAGGTGGTGAAAACCGCCTTCCACCTTTCTCATATTGGTGTTCAATATTCCTTTCTTGGTTATGCGGTAAAATTTGTCTTTTTTCTGGTTCTATGATTTTGTTAGAAGATTTCTCAAATTGCGGTGGATTTTGTTTTTGGAATCTGGAAGTATCTTGTGGTCCCTAAAACATTTTTACTCGAAATAACAGTATTTAAATTGAAGACATGGTTTAAACTGGCAAAGCATTTTTTTTGACAATAACATCCCTAAGCTTTGAGGAGACAAAAAATGACAGAATAACTTACTTGTGACGGCCACTGGTGACCTTGGATATATGCTGGTCCAGGCTGTGTGGGCTGTGGGCCCATGTGTGATGGTCCTTGGAAGCCTTGTTTTGATATAGCCTGCTGCAATCAAACAATTTATCTAATTAACCAAGGTTCTGTCAATCTACACCTTTTATAAACATAAACTATATATCTCTTAATTGATTTTAGTATAATGTATTTACCGGTTTTTCAGGATTGTAACCCTGATTTGGATATCTTCCTTCTTGGATTGGTTGTCTGTTTTGTTGTTGGTCAGTTACAACTATGTTAATTGGTGCATGTGGCCTGGGCTGATTACCTCTTGGAGGCTGGAGAAATAAAATTAAAATCCTCTCTGTCTATCTAGTTTTTTTTAGTAGTTATAAGTAAATAAAGGTAACATCATGATTTTTTACTAACCTCAATCAAATTAGAAGGTATGTTATGTGAAAAACCATCTTGTGGTCCCCGATTATGGGGAAAACGATCCTGTTAGTACAAACATATATTAGTTGTTTTTATATAGACATAAAAAATTAGTTCACTGACATGTTATGCGAAAGGAACATGATGATACAAGCAAAAAAGTAATGAGATTGAATGTGGATGGTTACAAAGGTAGAGGAATACCAAAAAAGTATGGAATGACTATGTGTAAGAAGATACACATAGGAAGGGGGTAGATTCAGACATGACGGCTGATAGAGATGTATGGAGGAGATAAGGGCAGGTTGGTGATAAAAATTTAGTTCACTCCAAAATAATACTATCAAAATTATTGCAAAGTAATTTTAGTATAGTTTAGTTCTGCACTAGAGTATGTAAAATACATTGTAACAAAGACATAATATTATGCAAACTATTGGCTATATTACTAAAATGTTTGTTAAAAATCTCTAGAATCTGTTTAATGTATACAGGCTACTAATCATGTTTTTATTTAATTCCGCATGGATAGAGTTCCTGGCAACCACTAATTTAATATACAAAGGGTCATAAAAAATACAATTCAAATTTCAAAGAATACTTAACAACTTTTAAATTTTTTTTAATTAGCTCCTAACCACAATTTTTTAGAAAGTTAAATTATTGCATACCTGGTGATAGTAGTTTTGTTGTCCAACCATTGGTTGAACATATTCATAATTATTTTGTACAGGCACTTGCTGTTGTATCGGTTGGGTATTTGACCATTGCTGGTTGGTTTGTACTGGCCAAACACCTTGTTGGCCTGGGTTCATAGGATTTGCATAATTACTTTCAGGCTGTTGGTTACACCATTGATTCACTTGAGGTGTTTCATTCTGGAAGTTACATGTTTTTAGAAGTAACAGTAGTTTGAAGTAATAGCTTGTAATAATACAAATCTCAGTTGTTTAGGGGTTAAGCACTTGACTTGCAATCCTGGGTTCAAATCCCCTCATGTACCATTATGTTTTCCATTTACATGTGTACATTCATCCAACATTCTTTCAAGGAAGGAAAACACTGGACCAGCATGGTTGATTATGGCCTAGTCACCCCTAACATAGAATAAACCTCAAGCCTCTCAGTGGGGACGTATAGTGAGCTGATGATGAGTAAAGATCTCATCATAGATTTCCTATGCAGTGACTTTTATTAATACATACTGTCATCCTTTTTCAATCTCTTTGTCGAAACAGAGACAACATGCACTGATAGAAGTTTCATTGGAAATCTATTGTATCATGAGACAATATATTTCATCATACTCAAATATTATTCTAAATATTTTACTATCTATTTTTAGTACACATGCTATAAAACCATACAACCTATATATTTTGTTTTGCGTAAATAATAATAAAGAAGTAAATTATATGTTTTACTTACAGCAGGTTTTCCAATGGGAACTATTCTCAATACATGGCCGGAATATCGATACCCATCCAAATATTTCATAATAACATCTCCTTCCCTATCAGAGGCTACTCCGATTCTTATATTTTTCGTTCTATCTTCATCAACACCCAAAGTGCCAAGAATAAAATCGGTTATATTACATTTTTCTTTTATTAGAGTCTTAATCTCATTGTATTTAGTCTGTAATTAAAATATAAATGGAAAGGGGAATATTAAAAGAGAATATTAGCATTTTTATAAAATAATTACATACTTTAGGTGGTAGTCCATGCATTGTTAACATCATCTTGATGAGTGTTTATTGAAAACGAGTTTGGAGAATCAAAATCACAAAAACTTATTTTCTTTAAAATCTTAAAACTCTAATAATTATATATTTTACGCGACATTTTTTCTTATCCTTATTCACAAATACAACACTTTTATTTCTTATTTATAGCTCCGCTTCATGCTTCATTTAGATTTGATGACATAAACCATAAATACCTACTCCGCCATATTTAATGGTGCAATTTCAAAGGGTATGTTTTGACAGCTTTGTCTTTGGTTTATCGATCGCGTAAATAGGTATTTTTGCTTTGACATGACATAGGCTATGTAAATTTTTAATTTAATAAAGTCGTCACATCTCATTGTTGTATACTATTTTATCAATTTAATTTAAATTGTAATGTTTATGATTCTTGTGCAATTACAAGTGTACAACCTAAGTAATCTACAGTTTATTCCATTCTGTACTGATTAATGAGTGACCATTCTCGCATAAAAATCAAAGATGCTGTTAATAATCCATAATTTGCCGACTAAGGTATTAAAAAGTTCATACGGAACTATTTCACTCGTGAAATGTATGATAATTAGCGCCTTATTTCAGATACGTTATAGTGAGGTGAAGGCGCTTATAAGAGATCGATGCAACTTGAACGATTTGATTGTGGATAACCTCGTATATGAAAGTCCACAAAGCCGTAAAGTTACCATTGGCCTAAGTGACGAAAATGATGCCATTGCCGTTACAAAAGAGCTGCATGGACTGGTTTTTATGGGTCAGAAGTTACATGTAGAAGATCTACGCAGAAATAAGGTAGGTTTAAAAAAAAAAGATTTATTTTCAACCAACAATTATTTATAAGGCCAAGGTACACCAAGAAGAGTCTGTCTCGTCAGATAAAACACCTCATCACATATGTTAATGAGTGTTTTTTCTGAACATCTTTGTCCTTTAAACATGTGCAATACATCTACAACCTAACTTGATTGAAAATGTGTGTGGGTAATTTTAACAATGTCAGGTGGCCGCTATCTCCTTTGCGACCTTAAGTAATAAAAATAAATAAATGTTTTCAACATCTTTCAGGGACCAAGTATTCAGAACTCAAACCCTGATCAAGGTTATGGCAGAAACATTAGTCACAATAATGCAAGTGAACAGACTCCAATGAAACCTCATACAACACCTGTTTCATATTCTGCCCCATATTATATGGCTGGTCAGGTAACAGCAACTTTGTAATATTATAGAATACTAGATGTCTGCTAGTTCATCTGTGCGGAATTAAAAAATATATATAATTAATAGCTTATGTGTTCTTCCAGTCTATGTTCTACATCTATGTCAAATTTCAGCGAAATAATTGCAACCATTCAGGAGACTGTTACTGCTGACTGCTTTAACTGTTATGTATTGGGAGTAATAATAGCTAGCTTAGTGTAGAATGTTTAATTAAGTCACTGTCAAAATATCAGCAGATGTAGCCGCTCGTTCAGAAACATGTGCTATGCAAACGCATATACACTACATTAATTATACCTTTTAGGCAATGACATTAAATTGATTTTGCATTATATAGTAATATTTGGAATTATTTCAGGATCAGAATCAAGGAAGCTCCAAAGGTCCAAGTACTGATGGACACGGTCAGCCACCTGTGCAGCCAATATCTGCTGTACCCCAATACATGCAGAATAATCCATACAGCACACCATACTTTATGTATGATCAGGTAAGGTTTTGTTAGTTTAGAAACATACTAGCTGTCGCTTGCGACTCTGTCTGCGCGAAATTAAAAAAGAACATAAGTAGTAGTAGTATATTCCATATGTATGCCAAATTTATTCACAATCTGTTCAGCTGTTCTAGAGATAACTTCAAACATCCATCCATCCGCTCATCTCTATTTCGAACTCCATAAGCAAGAATTCTCTACAAACAAGAAAAATATAGTTCTCTCTTAGTCTCTTGCTTATCCAGGTTGAACCATATGTTGCAATTGGATGGATCTATGTTAAGATATCTCCAGAGCGGCTGAATAGATCTAGGTGAAATTTTGTAAAGATGTAGAAAACTGTCTAGAAGAATGCATAGGCTACTTTATAAGTTTTTTTATTAATGTGTGTTTATAAAGTCCTAGGCAAAAACTAGTATTCTAATAAAGCTTTTCTGGTAACAGTTTAAATGTACTCCAGATTTTTTTTCTTACCTGTCTTAAATAGGGTTCCCCTACATACTCTGCCGGAAAGCCTAAGAGTTCCAATGTGATGACGCAGCCTCCATACGGCTCTCCCCGAATGCAAATGCCACAAGTAAGTTAAATAGAAAAATGTGTATTTTTATGATGATATTTCTTATCTTTACATTCTAATTTCTGGTTCACATTCCTTTTATTCAATATTCAAGTCATTGACCATTCCGGCAGAATAACCTCAATGAGCGAGAAACTCGAGTTAAAGAGAAACCTCTATAAGCAAGAACAATATTGCAGTCTTCTGGACTCTCGTGTGTCTAAGCTCAACATCTTAAGCTTTTAATTTTTTTCTGATACCAGTTTTAAAATATAATTAAGGTTTTTAGGGATCCACACCACGATAAGTGAACCTTTATAGCATTAGCTTGTTTTCTGACCATATGTCTGTCAAGATCCTTTTTGTTTGTTTTCTCTTATTTGTTATCTTATACAGGGTTCTCCTACATACTCTACGGGAATTCCTCAGAGTTCCAACATGATGACGCAGCCTCCGTACGGCTCTCCTAGAATGCCACAAGTAAGTTAAATAAATATATGAAAAAAATGTGTATTTTTTATGTTCTGATATGATTTTTGCTTTATTATATTCCCGACACTGAAAGATTTTAAGTTATACATACTTTTTCTTATTGTAATTTATGTGTTGTAATCGTTCAATGTGGGACAAGAACTGTTGACAAACAACAATGGAGGATAGGCTGATTTACAAATGTTATCCTGTGAAATTGAAGAACAGTCGGACATTGATAACCAAAAAACTTCAATAATCGAGATTCATTGACCGTTCCGGATAACCTCCATAAGCGAGAACCTCGAATTAAAGAGAAACTTCATAAGCGAGAACAATATCGCGGTCTCTTGGACTCTCACTTATTTATGTTCGACTGTATCCCAACCATTCCTATGTACAAAGTTACATCTTATAAATCCTAATCTTTTAAATATTTTCTGGTAGCATGTATTCTAGTTAGGATGTATTCTAGATTTTTAAGAATCTGTACTTTGATAAGGAAAAATAGAACCCTCAGAGAATTACTTTGTTGTCCGTCCGTCTGTTTGTCAAGACCCTATTTTTTTATTCGTTATCTTATACAGGACTCCCCTACATACCCCACGGGAATGCCTCACAGTTCTAACATGATGACGCAGCCTCCATACGGCTCTCCCAGAATGCCAATGCCACAAGTAAGTTAAATAAATAGATGAAAAAAATGTATATTTTTTTACAATCTGACATGATTTCTGGTTTATTACATTCCTATAATTCAAACTTTATTTACATTTACTTATTATTTTTATTCTGATTTAATCGTACAATGGGTGGGACATGGTCTGTTATTCATTTGACATACAAAAGTGGTGGGGATGCTGATTTAAAAATGTTGTGCTGTGAAATAGAAGTAAAATCGGACTTTGATAACCGAGAAACCTCTATAAGCGAGAAAAAATATCGCATTACCTTAGACTCTCGCTTATTCAAGTCGATTTTTTTTGCAGGATGATAGACATACTCAAAGTTGAAGTAGTTATTAACTCTTCAACAAGATATTGTTTTGGGAGTTTGAGCGTAGTAAGGTTTATTTTGGCAATGGCCACCGCAAATAGTGATAGATTTTGGGAATTTTCAGCCGTCTCGAGCAAATTAAACGACGTAGGTCGCTATTTTGCTCATGTATATTGAGACTGTCATATTTTACCATGGTTGAGCTGATTAAAAACTATGGGGGGGATATAGGTATTAAATACACTCAGTGCTACTCTGGTTTTCACGTAGTAATGTGAACTCGCTGGGCGAGACGGTGGCATTAAGCGTGTTACGCCAAAACGGCTAGTATTTGGGCTTTATCTAAATGTACAGCTCACTGTACGTCCCCGCTGAGAGTTTGGAGACTACCCAAAGTCATGTGTAACCAGGCCATAGTCAACTACGCTGGCCCAGTGCGGTTAACTACATACATATCTTTGAATTTCTTTGCAGATATGTACAGGTTGCCCCACGATGTTTTCCTTCACCATTAAATCGTACGGACTATGTAATATAGTCTATATGATCCAGAACTGTAAAAATATTAAAGAGCTGTGTAATTATTTACACATCTCTTTCCGCAACAATTTAAGTATGAACAATATGACTATATTCTGTCTTAGAACATATGGTTTTTAAGGAAGAAAATTACATAATGTTCTAAGTAGAGTTAATTTTGATAGGAGGACCTTTTCTATTTTTTTTATTGTAAATATTGAATATAGTCTTTGTCTGCTTAAATTTTGTTACGGATGTCAATATACCGTGAACATGCTTTGTCCACAGAATACCAATATGGGTTACGGTGAGTCATCAAATTATGGCAACAACCAACCAATGACCGTAACGTCAAATCAACCCGAGTATATACCTCGCGGAAATGATAATCCGCGAAATGAATATTCTAAAAGAGATAGCGGATCACGATATTTCGAAGAAAAGAACGATCAGAAATATCATGATCGCAGTGAAAGGCCGTCCACTTCACGAGGTGACCGCGATGACTATGAACCGCGCAGTCGCTCCGATGAAAGACGTCACGGTGATTGGAGTCCCGATCGATACAGAAGATCGGAGAACAGGAATTTTGATCACGTTCCTAAAAATTCGAGGGATTCTTATAACCAGTCGTCTGACAGGAGTTATAAATCAGAACCGGAAGGATCTGATTTCAGGCGCGGACCCGACGATCGTCGTAATGCAAATAACTCGGCAAATTTCGGTGCCGACTACAATCGTCACTATGACAAAGAGCAAGGTGATTACAACCGCCCAAGTGATCGAGCACCTGGTAATACAAATGAAAATTCACGTTACAAATGGACTAAACAAAAAAATGGGAATGAATATAAGAAAGATAATGTCGGAGACTACATTAATAGTAAGCCAAGCACTAGTAAAGGGGTTGTTTATAGTAGAAATGATTTTAATCCTCATAACAAATTCGGCAAAATTCAAGACCCTACAGTCCCGGAAATTAATGAGCCAGCGATTTATCTTACTAAAGCTGAATTCAAAAAAATTAGAAGGGCTAGAGAACTCAAAAGATCTGCTGCTGATCACAAAAACGAAACTTGGCGTGGGCAAGCTACGTCTAAAATAGTAAAAACTGCGCTGGAAGAAAGCGGCTTAATGATTCAAGCGAAGAAACCAGGTTTCGTGCAGTTCATGAAAAGTATTGTTAGGACTCGAATCAATAAGATGTTGGGTTACAGGGTGACTGTGCCTATGGAGAAAATCATAGAGGAGTACAATACAAACTATCCTCCTAATGTCAGAAAGAATTTTGTCCTTGAATCGAAGGCCAAGTTCAATAAAATTACTGATTTTCCATCAGGAGGTGAGATGTTTCAATTTTGCATTTTGTTACCGTGAGTTTCCCCTCGTAAAACATTAACATTTTGTACTGGTCTTACGAAGATGGAAACACACGGTTAGGTTTTATGTTGTAAATTTTAGACACATATAAATATTTAATGGGGTCTATTCGTAAACCATTCCCGCGGGTAAAGTTCTCTTTTCTACAAGAGGAAAAGTTCCCTTTCTCGCGGGAGGTATACTTCTCTTTCCCGTCAGGGCAAGATCTCTTTTCTACGGGAAAAAAGGTTCAAATAGAGGCAATGTTCCCTTTCTCGCGGGAGAAGCTCTCTTTTCTACAGATAGAAAAGTTTTATCTCACGCGGGTAATGTTCTCTATTTGACGGGAAGAAAATTTCCCTTTCCCACCGGAAGGGAAGATGGGTAGTATGATAAGATCGTATTCGTGGTGAAGTTATATCGCACAATTTTTTTAAATACTAACAACATATATAAGGGGCACCTATACAAAATGGCGTATTCTAGTAGGAGAATTCGGTCTAGAATTGTAAATCTTCGTTCTTTCAATTTTTTACATTAGAGTTGTAAATATAAGATTTCCAGTCCTATTTAAATTTTTACTATAATAGTATTTTCAAAAAAAATCAATTGAACTGTGCAAGATACTATTGAATAAAAACTATTTGAATCGTTTACCTAATAAATATACCGACATTATTATGAAAAGAAGATTTATTTCTTGAATTTAATATATTAAAAAAAACTTACTAGCTGCACCTATACGGCGGCCTCTAATGAACCAAGCAACGCCGGAGAAACGCCCAGCAACAGAACAACCGCCGTCGGCACCAGCGCCTAAGAAGCCCCAAGTCAATATACCAAGACCACCGCCGTACAGACCACCGACACCAGGACCCCTGCCCAAGTATCCTAATGCTGGTAAGTTGATAAAATATAAAATAAACATTCGCATATAATATTAGTAAGATAAAATCATGACTGTATAATTTAAAACTGTTTCCTTTTTCCTTTTCAGATAAACAAGCATATAAAAGTAAGTTCTAGTTAATTGTTCACTTCAAATGCTTTTAAATTGTTTGAATCACGTTTAGATTATATTGATTCAGCTGCTTATCACATACTTAGAAATACAGTTGAATCAGGGTAAGCGAGAAACCTCTATAAGCGAGAGTCATTGACTGATCGCCTCCATAAGCGAGAAACATGGGTAAGAGAAAAACCTCTATAAGCGAGAAACATGAGTAAGAGAGGACCCCCTATAAATGGGAAAAATATTTCGCTTATCCAGGTTCGACTGTATATTGTGATGTGAAGATAGGTTTTCTTTGAAATTGTAACATAAACATATTACATTTATTTCCTTTTTTAGAATTAAAGACTCTTGCAAAGGAGGAACATGAGAAAGAAATCTATACATTGGAACCAAAATTGAAAGAAGCACTCGACAGCGAAGTAAAAGTGCTTCGGGAATTGGTAATTATAATAATTTAGTTTATTACCTCAATCATAGAGTTCCTTTACGATGATAAATCCAGAGAAATATTTTAACCATAGACAAACTTCATATGTGACACTAATACTCGTAAATTCTAAAATATTTCTGGCAAAATACTTTTTTCTCGCATAACTGCAGACGACCTCCATGAGCGAGAAACTCGGATAAGAGGTCGAGGTTACTGTCCGTTGTACTCTCTATAATCCAGGCTCTACTGTATGGCTATGTCCGTCACTAGATATATTTTTGATTATTTCTATTCCAGTTTATAAAAGGATGCAGAAATAATGATGGCGGTGAAGATGAAAAAATCTGTCAACGTATCGAAAAAACTACGGATGAAGTTATGAAGGTATTTGATATATATTTACGTTTATTTAAACTTTTGACATTTATTGACATTCATTGTTATATATATAAAAATTTCGTGTCACGATGTATGTTCGCGAAAAACTCGGAAACTACTGAACCAATTCTCAAATTCCAATTTCAGAGATTGTATAGTTTTTTTCTTAAATATTGATCTTTTTTTTACATTCCGCACGAATGGAGTCGCGGGCGTAAGTTAGTAATTTATAAATATAATTTTTAGGTTATAAAACTCGATATAACAAAGCGCCTGCTGAACGTGACATGCAATCTGCCGTTGCGTATGTTTGCTAATGGCAAGTTCAAAGTGAAGGAGATAGGTCCCATGCTGAAGCCGTACGGCATCATCAGCTGCAGGAAGTCACCTCGCAGCAAACTGTGCGTCGTCGTCTGCCAGGATTACCCCAGCTATGATTATTTGTGTACCAAAGGAGAGATAGATTTTGGTAAGTTATGACAAATACTTTATTACAATACCTCTTTATTATAAAAAAACTTAATAATTCTAAAATATTTCTGGTAAAATTTTATCATCAAATTATTTAACATTGCCCTTTATTTTATAGTATATATTCACTTTATCTCAAATCTAGATATACATACTTAATTACATATTAATATTTTCTCCGGTTATGTCTATTTATTCATATAACATGCTTTAACACATTCCATGCCACAGACTGCGACTTTAGTTACTAAAAACTCAATAGCATTAAAAGTGTTAAATGCTCTGATTAATATCGTATAATTTGGCATTAATTGTATTACTATCACAATCAGTTGACTAATATCCGTCTCTGAGTGTGATATTGTCAAATATGTTATCGGCTCAGAACATCGGCAATGACCTGGAACCGACAAGATACTTAAAAACACTTACTAATATTATAAATACAGTACGATGTATGTTAGAAGGTATCTCTGGAACCACTCCACCGGTCTTGATGTAATTTAGCATCGCAATAAAACATAACCTGGAAGAACACATAGGCTACTATTTAAGTTCCTTTTAATTTCGCATGGACGAAGACGCGGGCGACAGATAGTACAATATTTATAATCTTTTAACAGGTGATGGTCTGATTATGACATTTAAACCGCTCCACCTCGCCGGTCCTACTAAAAGACCTAAGAAAAAAGGTAATAAACTAGGCAATAATAAAAATAATGATAACACGAGTGGAGATGAGGATGAGGTATTCGGTGATGAAATGGCCGGTGAGGATTATGAAGATGCAGGTGATGATTCAAAAGAAGATGTTCAAGTGATTGACGTTAAAAATGAAGAAAAAATTGATGTAGACAAAGAAGATATTAAAATTGTCAATAAAGGAAATGATGACTGTAAAGACAAACCTAAAGATGAACAAACAGACAATGAAGTTAAAGAAATTGTTATTAAAGACACTGAAAAATCTGAAACTGAAAATCTAGTTGAAGATATTAATAAGTTAACGCATAGTATTGCTAATGATGATAACATTGAAGATATACAGACCGCAGAAGCAATCGATGTGGCAAACATTGGCCAAGATGATTTAGAAGATTATTGATCATATCATCATATGGTTTAATAATATCAATAGCTCCTAAGTAAACAATCGTAAGTCATATAGCAGTGGCGCCAGTTAATGTTTACAGTTGCCAGTTGTTCGACTGTCTTACTGTACTGGCATAATGTAAATCAGACATTAGATACTTTAGTTATTTTTCTTATTTACTATTAGTGTAAAAGTGGATTTCCACTAGTTTCTTTTCGAATACCATAAAAGCGATAACAATATATATATTATCGATTTAGTTATAAATGAGAAACCATATTTCTACATGTCACTGGCTGACAGTGACATTTATTGTCTATGGATTAATTCTGTAAAGTTTTTTGTTTAAATTGATTGATACAAACATGTCTGTTTTTTAATAAGTCTATGATTACAGTCTTACGAAGGTATAATTGTTTAGATAGGTATGTTATAATTTCATAATTTCTATAGAATTATGATAACATGAGTTTTATTACAGTCTTAGTAATAAGTTCTATATTCTTATTAATTGTTATCCGTTGTATCCATTCTATACATCTAATTTTAATCCTACTTATATTTTTTGGAATAGAAAGTATGGATGGATAGGTGTTAGTAGATAATTCCAAAATGGCATGTCTGGTATAGCGCATAGGCTATGTTTTTTCAATTTCGCTTAAATTCGGAATAAAAGGCAGTATTCTATATAAATAAGTTGTAATTAACTTTTAATTATAATATTATAAAGCCATGAATGTAATTCTTTGAAGAAATTCAAAGATTTGTGCGAAGTTAACTCGCACTGAGCCAGCATTGACTTAGTCACCAACTTAAGGTAGACTCCGAGTCCCTCAGTGGAAAGTATAGTGAACTGATGTTATGTTCCTCTATTAACTAAATTACAGCTTTGAAAATGTCTAGTTTACTGAATAAGTTTGGCAACATGTTTTTTTCAGTGTTTTGTAGTGGAATTTCATTAAAAACATATATTACCATGTTTTAAAGATCTTTACTGTATTTAGTACTAGTACTGTAATTTCTTTTAGTAATTCTATCTAAAATATTCGATTGTTTTATAGTTATGTAAAGAATAATCATTAGTATTATATCTTAATATTAACTCAATGTTTTTCATTCATAGACAAGTATTAGGATTTATATAATCAGCTTATCTTTGTCTTGGTGTAATCATTTAAAAATATTTACTCACATTTCATTCGTATAGTTGTTAGAATGTTCATTGAGTTTCATTATCTCTATATTTTATTTATAATTAACCTATAGATTTAGTGTTGTCAACAAGTTTGACGTCTAAATGCTATTTTTGAAATGTCATTTTGTATTGTGACAACACTGAAAAAATTAGACCTAAGGACTCTGCGGGAATAGACAAAGTGCATTTGCTCCGAAGCGATTCGATAAAGAACTTCAAAAATGTATAGAACTGACAAAAGCTTTTAATGTCACATGATTGTTGCTCGCTTTTCGCGAATGCACTTTATCTAGCCAACAGAACACCTTTTCTTCATAATTGACATAGATGTAGAACATTGGCTACCAATTAAGTTTTCTTTTTAACCCGACGTAGACGGAATCGCAGGCGACAACTAGTTCATTATATAAATGTCTTTGAAGAAATATGTTATTCGGCAGTGTAATCGCATAGTAAATAAATGTTAACGTTGGTGTTGTGTAATAAAAATAAAAAACCTTAGAACTTAAATAATTTATTTTCCTTAATCATTAACGAAATAAAAAGTAGTGTAGTAATTTTACAAATTTAAAAAAAAACACTGGTTTTCCTGCGAAATTAAAAAAAAAAACTATTGTTATAACACAGATGGAGGTAACATGTCTATGGGTGTCAATGAACACCTTGATAGTCCCGCTGTTCGTTATTGCTTATAAAAAAAATTAAAAAAAAAAAACATTTTTACACTAAAGTTGTCTGTTTTTAGTCAAAATTACGATATAATATAAATTAACATATAAGATTCATTCTCTAAGTTAAATAAAAGTCGTATATACTATATTTAGATTATATAAATTCATACTTTTTAAAACATCAAAATTACTTAAAAGCTTATTAGTTAATAATCACCACAATTCCTTTATCATTTGCTTCAACACTTTGCGTAGGACCTTCATTGTTGCCTTCTTGCTGACTCACTTTATCATCTTCTATCCAATCATCTAATTCATGATCCAAAATCTCTGTGGATGTTACTTCTTTACTCTCCAATACTTTGGTCTCGGATTCTACAGTTTTATTCTTTACTTCTTTATCAGTATTGGATGGACCTGGAACATTAAAATGAGACCGCTATAGAACACACTGTTATAGAGCCCAAATACTTGTTTCTCTTCCCTTTATCATCCTTTTCTAAGGATGAAATTGGTAAGGGTGGGGTTGTAAAGGGAAATACCTGTTTTATGCCTGTATTACTACTCTACTAAAGGTAGACAAACTTCTAGTTATATACTAAAAAAGTCAACTATGTTTTTACAAAATTTGACAGCGTAAAATGTTTTGAACAAAGCATTATTAATTTGACAAATAGGATATTACATTTTGTGAACTAATCAATCGTTTTGTTTGATTCTATAATAATTAATTTTAGAAGCGTCTCTGCTATTATGTAATTTCTTACATTGGATATTTAACACATCATATTCACCTTTGAGTCTGAAATTATATAAAGTTACATCCTGTGTCTCATTTTTATTAAAATTTCTTATAACCAGGATGCATGGAAAGGGAAAATATTTTCTTTCTGTGCATTCTCTCCTCTGGCGATTAAAGGTAGGCAACGCATATGCAATTGCGTATGTCTATGGGCAACGGTCACTTCGCTATTTCAGCGATTTCAGGTGGCCGCTAGCTCGTTTGCCACCTTATGATACAAAAAAAAACCATTACAACTAAGCTTGTGCTTGGTAATATTGAATCACAATAGCCAAATGGTAGGATTTCAACTCACAACCATATTGTCATATGTCCGTACCTTTAACCGTTAGGCTATAAGTGCCTCAATGATGGATATTAATTATTCATTTAATATAAAACCAGCATTAACTTGTCCTATCTTTAAAAATACACAATTTTTTAATTACTAACAATATTTAGTAATTTATTTGTGTATTCAATATAAAGATAGACAGAAATACCTGATATATTGGATTTCCCCACTTGACTATCGGCTTTTTGGATTTCATTTCTAATAGCTTGAGCTATTTTAATCTCTGCTTCAATACGGTCCAATAGAACTTCATCCGACTCTAATGGATACACATCTCTGTACATTTTTATAATGTCATCAGTTTCCAAGTTACTTTTGCCTTTAATTATTTCTATGATACGCTTCCTTAGCGTGAAATATAAAGGCTGTGTAATACCTTTGACGTTACTACGTTTTGATACAGCATCTTTCATTTGCTTTACGATAGCTCTGCTAGCTAGGACTGGTACTGGTGTACCTTTAACCTTAGCAGATTTTTGTTGAACTGTGGATTCATCATCCTGCCTTTCAATAGCAGCGGCATATCTTTCTAAATCAGTTATAGAGGTTGGCTCAAAATCCTGTGGATATGAAAATTTATGTTACAAAACTCTTTTTGTTAATGTTGGATAGCTAAATTAGCTTTAAAACGTTTCAACAGTTCAGTTCATGAACTTGAACTGTTGAGCTGCAGTTTAGACAGCTTGCAGCTCTATAAACTATGTGAGTCACCAAGCTGCAAGCTAAATTGTGAGTGACTTGCAGTTCTTAGCTTGAAACACAAATCATAACTCTATGCATAAATTGAGCTTATCTATGAACTAGTTCACTGATCTGCAAATCTTCAATTTTATTTGAGTTACCCACAACTAGTATTGGTTAATTTTACCATAAAAAATGTTTATCTCAATGAATTATTGTACACAAACTATTGGTTCTATCATTGCCGTGTCTGTAATTTTCTTTAGAAACAAGCAATATTGTCTTTAACATATCAAATTCATATTAATTCTTACCTTTAGTAATTCAAGTCTCTTCTTTTCCAAAAGTAACTTTCTTTGTTCAACAATAAGGATGCGTTCTTTTTGGATTAGTTCAATCTCCATCTACAACATTTAATCTCATTAATATTAGTGGTAATAAAAGTTTTGCAACAAAGATATTTTGACTATCATTATTGGAAACTTACATCTATTTTACTTATATCAGTAGCCAAATGAGGACTACGACTTCTGTCTTGAGATTCACGAGGAGCTTGTGACTGTCTTGTAGGCCTTACTTCTTTATCTCTTGTAATTTGATCATCACTGTCATATGTACCAATGTTATGTTCCGTTAACTCAACTGCTGATAAATTCAATTCTTTTTTATTAGTAAAATCGAAATAGCAAAATCCATTTATGAGTTTTAAAGCTTTGTTAGCTTCTTTCTTCTTTCCAAATGTTAATGTAACCACACTAAAATTAGGATCAGCATCAGGTTGGATGTCATGCACAATAAAATGGGTTAATAGTTTTTTGCCAAATACAACTGAGTTCAATATATGAAAAATCTTATGTCTTTTTATCTGAAATAAAAGAAATTAGATGATTAGTATAGTTATACTAGTGGCATAATTAACAGAAAACAAAGTATTTTGGCTTCCAGTTAACCATACAATCGGTATTGATTTAAATTCTTTAATATTGATTACTTTTACATACTTTGGTATGAAAACCGTAGACGTTGATAAAAAACATCTTGATGAAACTGTGTTATTCGAAAATATAATATAAAATGAAACACACAAATCAAATCTAGTTTAATTCAAGTTTGATCAAGAATCAAGTCAACAATATAGTGTTTTTTTTTTAAAATTGTCGGATCAAAGAGTATAAGTATACTATAGATGTCATGTCGGATGTTGTCAAAAATCCTGAAAGCTGAAAGCAATCAGAACAAGATGAATAGAGCAACAGATATATACTCTTATTTACTTTTATTTATTTAGATATATATTCTTATTATATACTCTTTGGATGATACTGTGTTGCGCCGCTTAGCAATTTAATTTTCCCAACAATCTACTTTCGAAATTGTGTACTTTAAATTCAAGGAAATTTATTTTTCAACATTATTTAACTATAATAAATTATTTAATAAAACTAATTAATTAAACTACCAAAATAATACTATAAACTATATACTAAAACTAAACCAAACTAAAAATAAAACTAAATAATATAAAAAATCGACCCCAAATCGCTGCGGTCGCACGGTAGGGTTCCCAAGAGGCTGGCGGCATTTCCCCGTTGGATGGCCAGGCTCAACCTTTGGCCGAAATGCGCGCCAGCCCTTGGATCCCCTGAGGCGTCGATGAGGCGTGCGGAAATCTCCTTAAACAGGCGACGGGCTTCCGCACCCCAAGGCCCCAAGGTCTCCACGGCAAAAGGCGCAAATATATACGGATCTGCCAACGCAGCATATTTACGCCTTTTATTGATTTCGGCTGTCGCCGCAGCTGCGCCGGCTTTACGAGCGGTCGCTCTCACGTGGGATGGAGCAACAGTATCCACGCATGTGGCATCCCACACGAGTGACCGCCCGTT